ATAATCGAAACCATCCTTTTGGAAAAGCTGATACATGAGCTCTAGAACTTTCCACATGTCTTCAGATATACTTTTGCCCGTCAAGTCGTAAACTAGCGATAACGCTTCTTCGTAAAATTCTAATCAAAAAAAGAAAATAATTATTAGAATATAAAAAAAATTCAACATTTCTTTAATCTCTATTTCCATTAAAAAAAATAAAGTTTATAAATTTATATAACGTTTATATAGCATAATGAGCATTATATTGAAATTAAAAAACAGACTTAAACAGTCAAATAAATATCACTGTTATTTTTATCACAATATCAATTTTAGATATTAAGAAAATAGATTATTAATAAAAATTTGAATAAACAAGAGAAAGAAAACATACCCATTACACTTTGTCCAAAGATATGAGCTACTACTTGGAGGACAATTGGTTCGAGTTGTGACATGATTTGGGGCTGCTCTTCCATTACTGTTAAAACTGTTTCTATTGTATTTAAGAGGCCCATTGCTGTTATCGCCTTTTCGTCGCTACCTTCATCTGTTTCGAGCACTTGGCTAAACGTAGCAGCCTGAAAAAAATGTATAATATGATACTCTATATAAATTCTTTCATGAGATTATATATTAACAACTTCTTACCAAGTGTTGACAAATTTCTACAGCAATTGGCATTAGTTGTTCCGTATATGTACAGACAATCTTTTGCATCACACTCGTCAAATCGTCATTTTCCGTTTGCCTTATAATAGTTAGTAATTCGAGCGTAATTTGTTTTATTAATGGCTCGATATATTTTTGAGCCTTGGGCTGCGCCGCAAGCATCATTTGAAGCGCTATGGCCGCTTCTACTTTAACAGGCAAATCTTGATCAGTTAGGAGAGCATTTGTAATTAGTCTAATCGCCTCGACTAAAATTTGTTCAGATTTAAATTTAATTTCCGAAAAGTAATGCATCACCCAACAGGCCTAAAAACATAATTAACACAGTAATCACTATCATGTCACATTTATATTACACAATAATGATAATTTCATATTTATTATTTTACTTACTCTCGCTCGCATATGGCCGTGAGGACTATTGAATTCGGGGAATACGTATTGCAGTAACATCTTATCCATTTGTTCTTTGTAAATCTTCTTCTTCAATAAAACATCAGCTAAACTTCCAATCTATATTATGAATAAAAATTTATATATTAATTTATGATGCAATTTATAATGTGCATGTAAGAATATATATATGGAATATTATGTAGAGTAGCCATACAGAAAATCTAAGCAGCACAAATATTTTTCTAGAACATACCATATGCAATGCACCATCTTTTTGTCTTGGATCTGCATTTGGACTAGTTAACACCTCTAGACAAAATTGCATCGTTTTTTGAAGCATATCTTTTCGTTTTCTACACGCCGAGTGCAACAAAGTTTGCGCAGCCGTTACAGGTGAAACAAAATCCTCAAAAATATCTGAAAACATATCTAATAAGCACAATATGATAAGCAAAGTTCTCTGAAATATTTAAATCAAATACTATTTTAAGTCGATTTTGAATAAAACAAGTTTTTAAATCAAATACTGCTAAGTTGATTTTACCGAATTTCACTCGGATATATTCGTAAGGATCGGTGTTCCACAATTCCTCATCAGCGGCGGAATATGAAAGGATAGGGAATAAAACGTCACGTATAATTTCGAACATGTGAGGCTTCAAAAATTTCCAAGAGAATGCATGACTCACACTGGAATTTCAGAATGTTATCATTTATCGTTAATCTTTTAATTGGCAGAACGTAATCATTCATTAACATATAATTCTTACCCCTGATTAATATAATTGATTGATTGCTGTACTACTCTAGGAGAAACATAGATTTTCCTACGATACTGATCCAAAATTTTCAAAAGAACCTCGAGAATACCGGCGCTAAATGTTTGCAAATACCATTCAGCAAATTCTTGATATTCTTTGGTCACATTTCCTGGGCTACCGTATCTATAATTAACAATGTAATATCAGAATACAAACGTTTCGTATTATATAATTTTCAGAATTTGTTTTAAACTTCATTATATATAATAAATTTATATAATTACCTTTCAAACATTCTATGTAAAATATGTAACGCCCATTTTTTACATTTCCACCAAGGCAATTCTGCACGTTCGTCATCATCAAGATCTGGATTATTAATTTCTGGCGGTACTGGTCTGTCTGCTATTTGTCTCACCACATCCATCCATTGTGAAAATACTTCTCTCGAGATAAGGTCAAGGGGAAGTGTGTACTGCAGGAAGTATGACATACAGATCATTAAATTTTAAAATATTCCACCAAATATTGTTTTCTCTTACATCTCGATATTTCCCTGCATACCTGAGTAAGCGCGAAGAAAATTTTTAATATCTGTTTCTGAAGTAGGACAGATTGCTCGGACGAATCTGGTAATAAGCGTAATATCAATTGATATATCATAGGGAATAACAAGTTCATTGCTTCATTTAATGGTCCCCTCTCTTCTGCTTTCTTGTACCTAGTTATCAGGGCAGAAGTGCAAGATAAAACATATGAAAGAAAAAAAAACATATGAAAGTGTAGAGTTAAATACACATACTCGAAATTTTTAACAAGTTGATGCAGCGCGAGGAGAACACCAGGCCAACACGAAGCATCTGGATTTTGAAGGTATATCGTAATTTTGTCTACTATTTGTGTCCATCTTCCAGGAAAATCGTGTTTAACTATATTACTGATGCATACCGCTAATTGTACTCTAAACATATAATATAGAGGGACAATATATATTATGACAATTATAATAAGTATATATATTTTTAATTAACGACATAAATTAAATATTACAACTTGCCTAATTATTTCTGGAGCGTGTACCACCGCGTCTACTATGGCATCGCGTATCATTGCACGATCTTGCTCGTGAATACTAAATTCTATGGGTCCACTATCGGCCTCTTTATCAGCCCAATTTGAAGTAATTAAATTTTTTAAGTAAATTACACCTGTACAAAGACAACAGAATATTATTTTCTGATTTAAGTGTCTCTTCAATTTTTTACAAGGCATAAAAGGATTACAAGTAATTATTTACCAGCTTGCCTCACAGGCACATCAACTTCATTTGACATTACAACTTGTAAAAGCGTTGGGGCAAAACCAATAATTTTGTGAATCTGAAAAAAACAAGGATAAATGTACATCATTAAGCTCTCGTATATTGTGTTAGTTTATTATCATCATTGCTATAATGTTACTATCTTCTACAGGTTTGTGGTAAATTACAGAGTATATATAAAGTATATGTATAATGTGTGTGCACAATGTGTATATGTATATATATATATATATATATATATATATATATATATATATATATGTATTACTAAGTATGTATAAAAATACATACATGCAGTGACATATGACTGAGGAAATTACAAACTGTATCGAAAAGTTTCGTTCGATGATATAGCTTGTTAGCACGCGATCAAATACGCGATTGATTATACAATCGCGAGAACTTTATTCCACGTTCCGAAGGGTAAAAAAAACGACCCGAAATTATCTTCTTTGCGGGCGAGCACATCGCATGAAAGAGGTTAACGAGCGAAAATACGGATTAAAAAATTCGGCATAATCGAACGAGTCATTCCGGATGTGAGTATCCCGAGAAGGAAACAAGCATGAATCGCCTCCCTCGCGATCTCTCCGGTTTCCTTTATTCGCGGAATCATCGGAGTATCGGAGAAGAGTCCGTTAAGGGGAGCAAAAAAAAAAGAAAAAAAAGAAAAAATATTTAGCGGCAAAAGATCCATCCTCGCCGAGGAGGACGTATCTTCCCCGATCACGTTACGTGCACAAGATATCCCGGCACGACGTGTTCACGAGCCACAGATCTTTTCTCTCCCTCCTTCCTCTCCGCCGCGAGCACGTTTTCGCTCGCAATTCTACTCGGGTCCTCTCCCGGAATGATTTTCTCGCGTACCTGATTGAGCTGTCCTTCGGCCTCCTTCTGCTGCGCGGGGTCGATCGTCGCCCGCAGCAGCTCCGTGAGCTTTCGCGCGTCCATCTCCTCCGGGCCACCTCAGCTCGCTCGTATTAATTAGACGCCTGAATTTTTGTCACCGATACCCCGTATTTGACCCGGCGCATTCACTTCAATGCTGCTCCTCGCTGCCTGTCCGTGTGCGATCACGTGACAACATGGCGGGCCATAGATCAGCTTTGAATGGTCGCATCCGGTCGCGCGGACGCCATCTGCGATCATATGTTTTGAGTAGTCGATTATTGAGAATGGACTCGATTTTCACTCCCGGCCAATCGGATCGAATTAATTTCGAATCCTGTCACATGATTGGTCGATTGAAGATAATGAGGTTGTAGCGACTTATAAATAAATTCACCAGATTTTAAAAAGAAAGTAATGTTTGTTCATTGAAAGTATAAAGCGAAAGACGAAAAGAATTAATATATAACAAATAAATGAATGAATGTGTTGTTATGGAAATATATATTTTTCTTAAAAAAAAATATTAATGAATTGAAGTTATTACAAATGTATAAAGATGTAAAAAGTGTAAAAGTGCAGTAAAAAGTGTAAGGTGTAATAAAAGTGTAGAGTGTAGATGAAAGGTGTGGATGATGAATGCTACAAGGTAAAAGGAACTAGAATTTCTTTATTCCGATTGGTCGAGTTTCAATCCTCGAGCTTCAAATTTTTTCACTGACACATGGGCTCTTCTTGATTATTGTATTCTTTACAATGTAAAATAAGCGTAGACAAGATTAGAAAAAAATAGAAAAAATTGTGTAGTAACTAAAAATAAACTTACAATTAGCTCGAAAATAATATTTTGCACGCCGTATATTTTTACAAAAAAAAGAAAAAGACATGCATATATGTATGAAGGATAAATAAAGAAGATAAATAAAAGAAAACGCGGCATGAGAATCCGCCCAGGTGCTGCCGCACAGCAATGCATCGACAAACTAAATAATCGACGTCAAAAGCTGTCAAATATGGCGAGGGGCAGCGAGAGACAGAGAGAGCGGATAATTGACATGTAAAAATGTGAATAGGCCTGGCCGCACTGCGATCTAGCGCTTCGAGGGGCTAGGTGGAACGACACGTTCGCGGTGTCTCGCGCGAACGACGAGATACGCGGACGAGGATCGCAATGTCAGACTCGCCGGCGGCGCCTCCCGAGTGCCGGAAGTGAAGTGCGCGCGGCGAGGGTGGCGGCGAGCAGGAGAGCAGCGGATCTTCTGGTCGCCCCTGGGACACGCAGCCGGGGAGCGGTGGGCCACGGGAAGGACGAAGGGCATGTTACAGTAATCGTCCGAGACGGGCGAGAGACTATGGGGGCCCAGCAGACCAAGGACAGGGTGATCCCCGCTGGGTCCACTGTGCGACAAACGCGCAAGCAGCAAACCAGGAACCTGAAGGATACGCGCATCATAGGCTCTAATATATTCACCGAGCACAGCGGTGAGGACACGCATGTTCACGGTTGCCTGATCCGCTCCACCTCGTGGGGAGACACGTCCTATTTCGGTTGCTCAGAAATAGTCTGCGGAGCAGAACCTGTGCACTGAATGAGCTTTGATGTACATAGCGCTATGTCGTTTGTGTTAAATCATGGTTTGATAGTTTACAGAACTGGCATGCGTTCCTATATGTTAAATGTGTCTTTCTCATTTGATGTAGTATAATATTGTGATATTTATATAGATTAGAATTGATGATAAGAGATGATAGGAGAGCATTCAAGAATTGCCTGATTTCGCTCTGCCTTGTGGGGAGACACATCTTATTTCTGTTGCCCAGAAATAGTCTGTGGAGCAGAACCTATCTACTGAATGATCTTTGATATACATAGCGATATGTAGTGTGTTAAATCATTGTTTGACAGTTTCTGAAACTGGCATGCATTTCTATATGTTGAATGTGTTTTCCTCATTTGATATAGTATAATATTATGGTATTTATGTAGACTAGAATTGATGATAAGAAAATGGGAGAGCAAAGTCTCTTATGATATGAATAATGAGTGTGCATTAATGACTGTATTGATGAATGTTTTCTAATTAATATGGACATATTAGAGTGATAGAATAAGAATTTTATTATGTATAAATATTTATCTATGGAAAGAAATTGAAAACTCAAAATATCTCAAAATTTCATTAGTTTATCACTCTTGTGCTATATATTAAATATTTGAAATATAGTTCTGAAATTTTCATACATTTTATTACATAGAACTGTTTTGATTGTCAATCTTAGAAATTTTTATTCTCTAGGCATATATTGAAAGTTATAAAAGTTCTGTTTGTTATTTTTTGCAGAGGCACTTTTACAAAGTAGACCGCTGCCTCATATTCCAGCATTGCCAGAAGGTGATCCCCCAAGTGGCTCTAGTGTTCAATCAATTTCACAGCAAGCAAATGTTCAACAACACACCAGTGTGTCTGGTAGTGGGCTTCTTGAAGCAGCAAATAGGTCAGTTCACTGTTTAAACTTTGAAGCAGCTCACATCTATTTATGTGCACTTATATAATTCCTATATACTTTTTTTATTTTTAGTATAGAAAGAAATCTTTTCAAATATAATGTCAATAATAATACATCAAAATTCTTGTATATGGATTGTTTTGTATTCTTTTTATGTATAAAATATAGAATTTTAGATATAAAAATGACATATAATTAATTTAATTATATATGCAAATGTAATTTTAGAAGAACAGATATATAATATAATTGATTTAATACATATGTAATTGCAATTTTAAAAGAATTATCTTTAATCAAAAAAATTTAATCTTAGAAATTATTAAATAATTCTTAATTATTTTATGTGCAGATGGACTAGCAAAGAAAATCTATTGGCACAGGAGGAAGATGATCCTCAGTTGTTTGTTGCTTTATATGATTTTCAAGCTGGTGGGGAGAATCAACTTAGTCTGAAAAAAGGTAATTTATATTTCTTATTAAATATCACAAATAGTATATTTCTTAAGATGTGTAGATGTTAATCTTTAAATATTGCATACTTTAAATGTTCATTCTTTAATTTTTCTCAACAGGTGAACAAGTACGTATCCTAAGTTACAATAAGAGTGGAGAATGGTGTGAAGCTCACTCGAGCACTGGACAAGTAGGATGGGTACCATCAAATTATGTGACACCTGTAAATTCTCTGGAAAAACACTCTTGGTACCACGGAAGAATATCTAGGAATGCTGCGGAATATCTTTTGAGTTCGGGAATAAACGGTAGTTTCCTTGTACGGGAATCAGAGAGCAGTCCCGGACAGCGTAGTATCTCTTTGAGATACGAGGGTCGAGTGTATCACTACAGGATCAACGAGGACAGCGAAGGAAAGATGTTTGTCACAACGGAAAGCAAATTTAATACGCTGGCTGAACTGGTGCATCATCATTCAATGCTTGCCGACGGCCTCATCACGCAACTGCTGTACCCCGCACCAAAGCACAACAAGCCTACTGTCTTCCCATTAAGTCCGGAGCCGGACGAATGGGAAATCAATCGAACTGACATAGTAATGAGGCATAAATTAGGAGGTGGACAATACGGTGATGTATACGAAGCGGTCTGGAAGAGATATAACATGACTGTAGCCGTGAAGACGCTCAAAGAGGACACGATGGCACTGAAGGATTTCCTCGAGGAGGCGGCCATCATGAAAGAGATGAAACATAGGAATTTGGTACAATTGCTGGGAGTGTGTACGCGCGAACCGCCGTTCTACATCATCACAGAATTCATGAGCAAAGGAAATCTTCTTGATTATTTGCGAAACGAGAGTAAACATCAGATCAACGCCGTGGTTTTGATGCATATGGCTACACAGATCGCGAGTGGCATGAGTTACTTAGAGAGTAGAAATTTCATCCATCGCGACCTGGCAGCCAGGAATTGCCTGGTCGGCGAGAATCATCTTGTTAAAGTTGCGGATTTTGGTTTAGCTCGTCTTATGAGGGACGACACATATACTGCTCATGCCGGTGCAAAATTCCCGATAAAGTGGACTGCGCCGGAAGGTTTAGCATACAATAAATTTTCCACGAAGGTACAAATTAATAAAAAAATATAACTATGTATTATACGCGTTTTGTGTTATACTAATTAGCAATTTTTATAGTCTGACGTGTGGGCATTTGGTATCCTTTTGTGGGAAATTGCTACCTACGGTATGTCTCCTTACCCTGGTGTCGATTTGACGGACGTTTATCATATGCTGGAGAAGGGCTATCGAATGGAGTGTCCCCCGGGTTGCCCGCCGAAAGTTTACGAACTGATGCGTCAATGTTGGCAGTGGTCAGCGGCAGATCGGCCAACTTTTAAGGAAATACACCATTCGTTAGAAAATATGTTTCAAGAATCTAGTATCACCGAAGGTCAGTGAAGTATTATATCAATTAATTATAATTTTATTTTATATAAAGAATTGCAATCTTATTAATGTACGTGTATCTATTGCAGAGGTAGAGAAGCAGCTTCAAGGTGGAGGGGAGATCCCATTATTATCATACAAAAAGTCGCAGACTGGAAGTACGGGAAATATACACGGGCTTGTTCTTGTAACCGAGCAATTATCTTCTTCTGGCATAACACAAGGTAATATTTAATGTTAGAGTATTATTGATGATTCAATTGTGACACATCTTAGCATTGAAATGTAAGAAAATGTAAATTAGTTTTTACAGTATTATTTGATAAAAAAGATTATTAAAATTTTTTTTCAAATAATACTGCTTTTTAAAAATCCTACTTTAAAATAAACTCCATTAAAATATATTTTTTAAATATCTTACTTACAAAATTATTTAAATGGATAAAATATATATTTTGTGTAGAAGGAGTTGGTTCGGTTGCCAAGCTGAGTACTTTTGTAGGTGGCTTGTCGAGTAGAAGTAATAGTAATATGGTTCAAATGCGAAGATCGACCAATAAGAAAGGAAAACAAGCGCCAGCACCTCCCAAGCGAACAAGGTATATAACAAAGTATTTTTTTTTAGTTCTAAACATACAATCAAACAATTATAACTTTGTGATATAATAAAAAACTATGTGGCTTCCATTGCAGCTTGCTGTCATCGTGCAGTTCTTTTCGAGATTCCGCCTATCAAGAACAAGACCAGCAAAATGTTGAAGTGAGCACTATGACGCTTGACGATGGCACAGATCTAAATGGTATTGATAAGATTTTTGAAGGTATTCCACTATATCAAACATAAGTGTAATGATGAATGCACGAAAATGCCGCTTTTGTGTAATTTTTCTTTCAGTAACTTCTTTCAGTTGACTTTGAATTTAATTTTTATATGCATCTTCGCCTACAGTGATTTTACGGCTTCATGAATGTGGGTCATTCTCCTCAAGTCAGTATGTATAATTGAATGTTGAATACACCGAATACTAATTTCCGACAATAGTACTTGGATATATTTTATTAATGCATATACTCGAGCGTCTGCATCTCGTCGTACATACTGTAAATTGTAGCTGCAGTTTTTCGTTCCCAAAGTTACATGAATAGGAAATCATACTCTATCATACTTTCTCTATCGTATTTACAAACTTAATAAGTACCACATATATTCATGCATGATATTCGTTTCTGTAAAAGTACGAGTAGAATTTCCGTTTTATTTTGTTTTAGATTTTTGGATATGTATTTTATTGTTTTAATTTTTTCGTTTAATTATATTCTAAAGATTGGAATTTAACCTGTGTAACGGCATTGGTATAATTATTTCATCGATTTTATCATCGTATAAAATTCAACTGTGTTCAAGCAGTGTTATGTGAGTTTACTAAGTTTACTCTTGTTATGTGAGTTTACTCTATTCATATATCATAGTCTTTATTCAGATCATATATCATAATGAATCATTTCAAATAATTCTAATACACATCATATACCATTTGTCATTTTTACTAATCATTCATTATCGATACATGTCATAACACTTATAACTTTGCAATAGTATTACACATGAATATCAATTTAACGATCTGCTCCTAATTTAACGTTGAAAGGAGAATGACCCTAGAGATGAATGGAATGAAGTGTGACAAAAGGAAAGCAGAGATTAAGATTGATAAGCTCGCCGCAAGTATCTTTCTCTCTCTTAGCTCTTCTCCAAAAACTCCAATATTTATAACGCGTTGCGCTTACATGCTGGAGAGATGTGTTAGCTATAGATTGTATACAGTACACTTTATTAAATGGCGACTCAGGTATCACACGTGATCTCGTGACAATGGCTACACAGTCAATTACTACAGGAGGTTGCGATATGGACGACGACGGAGATGGGTCGCAAGGGACAGCAGAACATAACTTTGTTCCTCAACCGTCAACCTCGCCGGAACCAGTATCCAACTTACCGTGCAATCAGAAACAAATTAAATCTCGACCTTACACATCTAAGGAGGTATTATCTCAGAAGGTACAATGATCTTACGTTGAGCGGCCACAATAATATTTCAAAGCTATATATATAATATATATATATATATATATAAATACTAGACACAAAAACATACCTTTACTCGTATACGATGTTAAATATCCCGATATAACTGCTTTTATCTGCTTAAGAATTTATAGAATCAGAGTAAAGTCTGTTTTCGATGGTAAATGCATTTAGCACTGCTTGAATAACTTGCTTGATGATGCTCGATGACAAGAGGGTTCTCTTTCAGTTAAAAAAGAAAAAAAATGTCATTTCAGCTGGTACACGTGGGTGCGCTGGAGGTGCAAAATGTTAAGAGAGCGATCAATCGTTACGGTACCCTGCCGAAAGGCGCCAGAATCGGGGCTTACTTGGAATCTCTGCGACAGAGTGGTATGCCGTCGAATCAGGAGAGTGTTTCAGCCGCCACACCTTCCTTAGCTACCGCGATCGTGGAACAGCAGCAACAGCAAGACATCATCGTAGCGAGCGCCATGATCGACACGATTCCGCAACATCGTTCGCTCTCGCCTCGCCAGAACAATCTTCGCGGTCAGCCGCAAATGACGCGCAGCAACTCCTCCAGCGGAGTGGTGAACACCTATCAACCTCCTAATTCACCACGCAGTCGTGCCGTGGGTGTTCGGAAGACGAACGCGGAGGGAATTGGTCTGCGAACCTTTCGCGCGCCCAACAGTTCCAGCTTCCGCACCGCCAGTCCGTCGAGATCGGTTCAACCGACCCTGGCCGATCTGGAGTTCCCGCCGCCGCCGTTGGATTTGCCACCACCTCCGGATGAGGCCTTCAGCGACCAGTGCGACCTACCACCACCAGCGACGGCGTCGCCGTGTACCGAGAGCTCGTCTTCTCACGCGAAAATCGCGAGTTCGCCAGTCGGTCTCAGAAAATTGAAAGCGGAATGGCGGAGTAAAGACGAACTGATCAATGATCACGATCAGGACGAGAGGAATAACGACGTAAGGAACGCGGAACCATCTGTGAAGGAGGCTAGCTCGCGATTCGGCGTAAATTTACGACGTCGAGAGACCACTTCTTCAACTACTGGCGACGCGCATTGTGGCAGTAGATCTGCGGATGAGAAGAAGTTGATTTACAAACCGAAGGAGATGACGACAAGCGCGATGAAAGCGGAATCGACGGACGTAATTGCTGCTCCCGAGGAAGCGCCACCACCACCTCCGCCACCTCCACCGCCAATCGGCAACGCAATAAGCGGAACATCTCTAGACACCTTCGAGTCCAAACCAGGGATGAAGGAGATGTTGGAGCTTAAGCTGATCAACGAGATTAAGCAGAGTGCGGATATGAAACACGGTAGTAGTAGTAGTAGTTCTACGAAGAAGATTGGCAGTAGTGTTAGTGGTAGCGCGCTTTCGTCGGCAGCTCCGCTTGATCCGGCGTCGCAGCTTCTATCCGAGTTGTGCGCCAGCTTCAGCATGGATTCCTCCAACAAGCAACATGTTATTCCGAGCGAATACGCGATCGCGACGTTGAAGAGCAACGACGTATCCGGAACCGTTCAAGAACACACGAACACGCAGAGTAGTATATTTCCTGAAAAGAGCAACGCTCACAAAGAGATCCTGATGATGACCTCGCCGATTACTGAGAGTCATATAAGCGCGACTAGTGTAGGTTTTAAATTGAAGAGAGTAGACAAGAGAAATAATCCGCAGAAGGAGGAGAATCCGGATAATCAGATAATCGATTTTAAAGCCCGGCTGCGAAAGGTGGATAACGTCGACAAGGAGAGAGCCGCGGCGGAGGAGAGGAGCAAATCATCGCGTTTCGATGACAACGCACAGGGGAGCAACGTCGTGGACTCTGCAGACTCGTCGTCCGGCGTGGACGATGCGAACGACGACAAGCGTCGCAGCACCGGCAGTATTAGTAGCCTAAAGAAATTGTGGGAGAACAAGGAGGCTTCTTGTGATAACCAACCGCTTAGTCCTAAATTAAACGTGAGAGGGCCGAGTAGCAAGCAGGATGACATCGCGAGCGAGGATTCGCCGGAGGATCACAGCAACGCCTCGACCAGGAGCTCGACCAGCAAGGGCGACTCGCGAATATGGCCTCCGACGTCATCGTCCACGGAGAACGAGAAGCCGATCGTGCCGGCAAAACCGTTGAAGCCTCTCGGACCATCCAGCAAACACTTTGGTTCCTCGATATACGCTACACCAAACTGCAATAAGTCGTCATCGATGCCTTGCACCGATGACGACGGTGGCGGGAAGCAGACCGGCGGTGGTGAATCTAAAGGGGCGAAGCACAGCGTGATGGAGATCTCGAACGTCATAGAGAATAGTATTTTGAACTTGAAAGGCAGCCCCACCATCGTCATGGCCAGTTGGCTCCAGCTGTCCGATAAGGTCGGCCTGTTGCACGGCATGTGCGTCAATCTGACGGACACGGCAATCGCGCCGCATGCGAGGTTCCAGTTCCGCGACCTGCTCACCCGGCTGGAGCTACAGGCGAGGCAATTGCGGGCCGCTGGCACGCGCAACATTACTGAAAACACGAGACTCTTGTGCGACGTGCAGAACACGATAAAAGACGTGATAAACACGGTGCAGAGATAAAGCTGTACGCCGGCGGATTGAAAAATCAAAAACGAGAGTATCTCCTTCCGCCACTTCCCCCTTCCTCGTCGTGGTGTTTCCCTTTGGATCGCAGAACTCTTCTCCTATCTCTCACCTTGTCTCTCTCTCTCTCTCCTATCTCTATTTCATCTCGGATCTGTGGGCGTATATAGTTTACATAAATTTATATAAATATATATCTCTAAGTCACACATGCATACATTAGTAACCCAAGTAGCAAATTGACGCCATTAAACGTTAAAATGACGTCATTTGATGTCAAAATGACGTACATTTGCTACCTGGGAAGGTTTTATCAAAGATTGAGAGATCCTTGTTTGGAAGCATAGCGATATATTAATTTTCGAGCGAGCATAAGAAGGAGCTAGTGTGAATAAGTTAATTAATTAATAATACGATTTCGCGATCGTGTGTGTTAAAGGGAGGGGGGAGGATTAATCCAAAGTTTTTGCACGAGTCAAACGATCGCCCGGTATATAATATTCCGGAATCTTGCGCGCAGCAAACTCTAAGTTCGTATACATATTTACAATTTCGCCTGTGTATATCGATTTGCATTTTTGGAAGCTATCTTTGAGAGATTGCACTACGATCAGTGTGTAACTCATCGGGCCTGGAGAAAAGTATGGCCTTATAAGACGAAAAAAAAAAGAAGAAACGAAGAAAAAAAGAGAAATATACATCTTTGCATGATTGAATTTTTATGTCGAAACGTACGACGATTTTCATATAAACGGATAAATAAATGTGATGATTATATAGTTACTGTACGGATCATGCAAAAAGTCTCATTGTCAGTAGTATATACAATTGGAATATTGGCATCGGAGCAGAAGCGTAATGCGAAATATAAGAGTCATCGCACGCTAACTCTATATCCTCGAGTCGCTTACGTATCGCGTAAATCGTTTCGTTTTACATGTAATTTTATACACACGTCGTGCTTAGTAATATACATATATTATTATTATTATTATTATTATTATTATTATTATTATTATTATTACGCGAGATTTTTATAGACAATATATATATATATATATATATATATATATATATATATATATATATAAATACGGACACACACCTAAGTCGTAAGTCATTTCATGTGTATTCTGGGACAATATATAAACGATTTTGTATTTGTATAGAGTAAGTTGGATATATATAAAACAGCTATACACATGCGATAATCGTACGCCTACGTAAATTATACTCAAATACAACAAAAATCGAATGTAATTAATCAAACTGCTCTTGAGTGTCGTGTGCTTCGTTTTTATCCATTGATATGGTATGGTTCTTCCAAAAGCACAATAGTAAAAGGAAATATTCGCCTGAAGACATCCATGTGAGTAATTCATTCGTAATGTAACTTACGGAAAGTGCATCTTAATCGATAAGCTTGTGTATATCAGAATGAAGTGAGAACGCTAGTAACAAAGTAACGGACAAATAATATATGATATATACATTATCTGTGTCTGTACAGTATTCTCTATATACAATGGAAGTTTTTAACTATCATGCATTTGTTTATGTTACTCACATTTATTATATTATCATTCATATATATATCATCATTTATATTTTTAGATATTTTTAGAAAAATTTTAGATATTTAAAGAACAAAGAAATGAGTATAAATATTGTATTTAAATTTGTTTATAATGACTGATGACGTTTTACAAAGCTCCATGCAGCTGATTAGAATTTGCTAGCGTTGGCATTTCCGCAGAGAATAAGCCAAGTTTTATAGGTTTTGTAACATTAATTATGTGTAAAGCTATTACTCTGATAATGTTCTGAGAACTAATTTTATGGAGGTTTTCAGGCTTATAATTCATTCAGCTCGTGCTTGACACTAAAGGAGAATGCAATAGAAACAGAAAATAAGTCACCGACAACCTATTTCTTATGTGACACTGCCTATATCATACATTGCGCGCGCGAATATTACGCGGTTAGTAGTATATATATATATTGAATTCAAACTAGTAATCTTTTAATCATGTAAATGTATTCGTTCTTTCAGTTTCAACTTCCCAAGTTTCTTTATGTATCTTTTGTACCTGTGATAAACTAATCAAGTCCTTTCTTTAGCTTTCTCTTCTCTTTATCAAAAGACTCATGCTCAACAAAAACGATAATAGTTATATAAATTTTAGTCAGCAGACATTTATTCGAATAAAACTGTATTATTGAAAGAGATACTAAAATTAATGTTCTATATTATGTATTATAGTAATTTTATGTCTATTTATACATACTTTCTTGTATTTATTTTTAATTTTTTGATGTAAAATTACTCTCCTAAAAAATCGACCAACGTACTGATTCACTAATACAAAATTTTAATATTGCTTTATACATTGATTGAAAATGAAAATAAAAATAATTATCAAATTATATTGTTTTTCTTAGTTTGAATGGTTCATAATTTGATCCCGCTATATGTATCGTCAAAATTGTATCTTTTAATTATACTATTACATATGTATATATAGTTAATTTTTATACATTTGTTATATATTACATATATTTCAGTAGAATAACTAAATTTACTTATAAAAAATTTTAATTAAAAATTATCAGATATGAGATCACAGTATAAAACTTTATTTGGTACTGTCAATTTGTATTACTACCTAATAATTCTTGCGTTCGGAAACAATCGCTAACAATTTTCCATTTATCACCCATAGCCGTAATGAGAAAAGTTTGATTAAACGCCTTGGGACCTTTTTCTTCATACTTTACTTGTCCACCGACTTTGACGAGAAATGTTAATTGATTGGCTACCTCTGGACCTATTTGTTAACATAACAATTTAATATTTTAATACAAATTATCTATTTACAGTGCTTCACATAAAATACTAAAAGGCGAGATAAAGTTAGCAAACTTTTGGTATTGTATTATTTGCAAATCAAATATGACATAGTAAAATAAAAATACAGATATCACAGATGACATCTTGATACAAGTAAAATAAGAGAACATTAAAAATATTTATTTAGATGTGACAAAACTTTATCACGAAGGAAAACTTAAGTCATAAAAATTGATATAAAGTGAAATGTAATACAGATCTAATATTTTCGAATATTTTTACTTGTCTGATATTTTTATAGTCAAGAATGCTAGAGAGAGTGTGATGCGATTAACATTTACCTGTAATTGGCTGAGCGTCGAGAGTAGTAATGGTATGTTCTGAAGATGGCAAATCTGTCCAGAACTTTTGTATATTGTCTTTGCCTACTACTCCATTTCCGTTCCACATCAGAGTAGCAGTGTCCATGTACATTCTTGCGATCAGCTGAAATAACATGTACAATTGATACGTACAATCGAGGAAAAAAATACGTTTGACATTATTAGATTATTGTTACTTACATATCTTCGCTTGTCTAGATGTTCATAATACAGTTTTGTAAATTCCTCTGCAGTTCGACAAGCTTGATCAATTTTAGCTTTTAAGTTCTGCGAAAGTCAACACAGATGTAAGAATTATGTGATGTAATCAAATATAATTAAACATTCAAAATATACGATGCATTAGTAAATTGATCGCATTCAAGTTTTAATTTATAAAAATATAATGCTAAACAGATATAAGACGTAATTTATATTCAGAATATTTGCGCTTTTCTAATTTCAATGAAATATCAAGTATATATGTATTTTAATATGTAAAATAATTTTACAGAAAAATAATTAATAATATTATACAAAAATAAAACTAATAATAGTATAGAAAAATAATATAGAAGTTATTATTTGAAAAAAATTGTAGGTCGACGCTCCTTAAGGTTAGAAAATTATTTTATTTTTTTATATTATAGTCTTTGTTCATATATTAAGATGTACATATGTACATAAAATTTAGATTGAAATCTATATGTGTATACATTATATTGGAAGAAATGAATATTGTTTGCGTATTTTCTCGTTATACATCATATGATGCAAACATGTCTCATAAATATATATATTAATTTATTATTCTACTTTGACGTATACCTGTTCCATATTTTCTTATTAATCCCAAGTAATGCATATAGAAAAAAAAATTGTGCTGCCCTTTTCATTCAATATAATTTGCGCACATAAAAATCAAATTCATAGCACGTTGCGTCAAGATGTAAATAATGTCACAACACTACAACAGAGTATTTAATGAAACATCTCAAACGGACCAATAAGATATTCAATAGCCAATAGAAAACTTTTATTTCTAGATACCAAAATTGCTAGTTACATCGTTAACCAATAGGAGAACAAACTCTTTATTTTAATTATTATTATATTTATTTATTATTTTCTCGTCTTATTTTTCATCTCATTTTACGTACACATCCATCCCATTAAAATAAAAATCGATCGCGAGATAACATAAAGAATCGAAAAAATTGTCCGGCCGCCCGACGCATGACCGCTTGACGTCACCGTTAGTGACAGCTGCTTGGCGGCAGACGGCGCGTCGGTCGGCGGCTCCGGTTTTCGCGCGCCAGCGTGGTTATCTCGCATTCGCTCGTTGATCCACGCGCGGGCGAGATCGCGAGATCTCGCTGGGTCGGTCACGTGACATCGTACTTCCACAGTTATTTTTCAGGCATGATGGCGCCAAACGCCAGTATTCACTTTTATGTAAATATAATATTGATTTGGTGCGTACCGCGATCGAGCACGAGCGTTCGCCGTACCGGGGCCGGCCGTCGAAAGTAACCCCCAAGAGCCGGGGTAAGCGCGCGGACCCGCCGGCGGTGTGAGAAAGACGGACTGGCCCGAGTGCCGCCCGCCTGGAATCGCTAATGAGGACATGTTGGTTAGGCTGCCGTGACAGGGAGCGAGAGAGAGAGAGAGAGGACCGAGGCCGTTACGCACTTGCAAGCAGCAGCCCGTTCGGCGTGAACGCGGCGGCTCGGGAGCGCGCACGGCTATCGCCGGCGGCCCCGCGGCCGGTTTCACGCCCGCTCGCGATCACGTGCGTGCTAAGCGCGCGGAAATATATCCGGCTAATAGATCAATAATAAGGTATTTAATGGTCTTCCCCCTCTAGCGCGTATGTATGTGTGAGAGAGAGAGAGAGAGAGTGCGCGCGCGCGAGAGTCACGTATGTATATGTGTGTGTGTGTGTGCGCGGGGGAGACTCGTATGTGCGTGTGTATATAGTGTAGAATTGCGCGCGACGATGGCGCCATCTGTATTGTCAATGTTGTCGGGCAGCAGCAGCAGCAGCAGGAGCACCAGCAGCAGCAACGTAATGGAGCCGTGAGCATTCTCGTAGATGTACGCAATTGCATCAGTTGCCCTTGCCGACCGTGATCCGCAGTGTGTACAATGAGATTTAACGCCGCCCGCGGCCCGCTCGACCGTCGACACGTGCAGTGAGTGTGATTGAGTTGTGCCCTTATTGTGTGCTCTGTGCTCTCTCGCGCGACAGGCAGCGCGATCCGCGAGATCTCGCGGGCGCCCCGTTCCACTCTCCGCGTCAATGTTTACAAATGTAAGAGGATGTTCAGGCGGACGACGCGGTTCGCCTCGGGCGACATAGACGACGACGACGACGACGCTGACGCTGCTGCTCTCGCGGTTGCGTTGCGTCGCGGTGCCGTGCGGTGTTGTGCGTCGCGTTGTTGCGTCCCCGCTCTCTCGCAGGTGAACGCCACGCGCGAACCAACGGAGCGAACGTCGTCGCCCTCGTGCCTGGAAGAGTCGCCTGGGGAGTCGCGCGACGTCCGACAACGCGCCTTCGCACCTCGCGTACCTGCGCTTTTTTTTTTTTTTTTTTATAAACCTCTTCTCTCCTTCCCCCATTGGAACGGGTGCGCGACGAGATCGCGCGCGCCAGCAGCCAGCGACCGCGGGACCCGCGAAAAAAAAGAGACGGTGTTTATCGAATGACCGGAAACACAACAAACGATCGAGAAAACCGTTCCGGCGCATGTATTTTCTTTTTTTTTTTTTTCCATTCGATCATCGCGGCGTCGATTAGAGTCGAAAATTGGAAAAAATATGCCTCCGTGCACCGACTCCTGGTGCTGAGCTCTCTCTAGGTGTCTTCTTCGGATGTCCGGTGTTGCTGGCTGTGCGCGCAATTCGAATATTCCATCTCTTTTCTCTTTGACATTACTTGTGGTGTTATTGACCTTAACTCTCTGTGCGCAGAAATCATGTAATGTGAATTTTTCATCTTCCTTCTTGCTATCGTTGTGTAGTAAACTGTTGACATTCATGCGTGAACTGTAACATGTGCAACTTTACTTGTACCTCTAGTTAAAACTGCGATTTATTCTATTTTTTTTCCTTGCGCTACTTATTCTTTCTGTTTTATGTATCTTTTGTGGTCAGTTATTCATAAAATAGCTTTTAATTTTCAATCTTCATGTAGTTTTTAATCTTTTCATGATTGTTTCCTTTATTTTTCATCTTATTATTTATACATGGCTTCTGTGTCACATGCTTTTCTTTATATGTGCTTTTCGTCATAGTTTCTTTTTCTATTTTAAATTTGTGTCGTTCTCTAAACATATCAGAAGTGCTAAACAAAGGTTAAATATTTCTACAAACTTGTTAATCGCAAGATTTTTGGTAAAAAAAATAGGATGAGGCTAATTAATGTAACTAATAATCTATTTTTTACTTTAAATCTGCTTGAAATTGCTTATTTCTATGTAAGTTATTACATATTAAACATAAATGCTTATGAAAAGCGTAAACTAAATAAGTAAAACAAATATAATTAAACAAATATAATTAAAATGAAATTCTAGATAAAGTTATTATGTCATTTTATTATAGATTTTAATGAGAAATGAATCGCAATACGCAATCTTTAATATAATTTTATAAAATTGTCTTCTTTGAAAACTTGTCTTCTATTGAGTATTATTTATTATCTAATTTACAAATATAAAATTATCTGTTTGTATTAACACACAATTTCTCTATTGAATTATTAAGTAATTTAAAATTATAGAAAAATCACAGTCTTTCTTTATGTTTCAGTTTTGAGGAAAATCTGCTTTCCAGATAATAAATATATGGATAACTATGTAGTAAGTATATTCTCTTATTTATATATTGTATACATTTGAAATATATTTTTTGCGGAGAGAAGAAACACTCACATACTCGATTAATTTTTCAGGGTGCATACAATTCACCTGCATGTGCCACGTACCACTAGCTTATTTGGCATAGTAGAATGGCACAACGAGGCAAGAGGCATAGGAACGACAATGATCTGGCGTCTTGTCCGGGCGCTATTAAGAGGCGCAAGTGTAGATTGGGCCCAGCTGCCACTGGTTCATCGGCATTGGCAGCGACCATGGGGCCCTCAGAAGAGGAGGAAACGATGGCGTCATCCAGCCAAGGGGGGGCATCCTGGACCGCCCGACCTGTTAGTGATATCAAGATTCCCAGCATATACAATCGATCGTCTGCTGAGGCACCGGCGGAGTTATTTCGCAAAGATCTGATCAGCGCTATGAAATTGCCAGACAGTGAACCATTAAGTCCAAACGAATATTGGGTTATAACTGATCAGTGGAAACAGGAATGGGAAAGAGGTGTTCAAGTACCCGTTAATCCGGATTCTCTTCCCGAACCGACGGTTACTGTTACGCAAACGTCTCCTTTGAAGTTACAAACTGAATTCAAATTGTGAGTGTATTGATTTATACGGTGCATGTTCACCGATCACTAAAGTGCGGTATAACAAAATCGTTGTCTAACGAAATGTCGTGTACGTTTCAGGCCTAAAAAGTTCGTAAGAATATCCCGTGATGATTATTTTAACTCAGAAGATCATCATTTAAGTACTACTCCAGCAAGAGCAGAGAAAGCTTGTGCTTATGACCTTGACGATACTGACATTGCCTGGTTGGATGTATTTAATGGTGAACGAGCACAGGTACATCTTATATTCATGATTATAGTAAATTAAATAGCATTTTTTAAAATTGAGTTTTTAATTATGAATCAAAAATTATATGGTATTCTATTTAAAATATAAAAAATTAATTAAAAATTGATATATGTATATATATATTCATTAAAAATCGTATATTTAATTAAATCAATATATTCTTATTATAATTCTCAGATAAATTTGACATAACTGTATGTAATTAATACTTAATTTGCCAATAAGAATGTTAAAATAGAGTAAAATGTTTTTGCAATTATAATTTTTAGTAACATAAGTAATTTGGTAATTTTTTCTTACAATTATTATTGAAACAATTATTAGTAATGTAAATGTCTATATATTAATATATATATATATATATATATTTCAACTACGACTCATTTTTTTCTATAAATCTATGTTACTCGTAAACTGATTAATATTATTTTGTATTAAAATTACCCTAGGCTGGACAACCGCCGGTTACAGAATCGCAATTGGAACGTGTAATAGAAGAGTTGGAAGTGCGGTGTTGGGAAAGAATTCAAACAATCGTGAAAAATGAGGAGGGTCTTGGAATTGAATATGATGAAAATGTCATTTGTGATGTATGCAGATCGGTGAGTGATTTTTTTCATTTTTATTTGATTAAAATGTGAAACGATTTTTCTATTGTACACTCTTTACGTTGTGATATATTTAAATTCTAAAACGTACAAAATTTTACTGCAGCCGGATTCAGAGGAGGGTAATGAAATGGTATTTTGTGATTGTTGCAACATATGTGTACATCAAGCTTGTTACGGCATTACTTCGATACCCGATGGTTCGTGGTTATGTAGAACTTGTTCGTTAAGTCAAAGGCCCGACTGTGTATTATGCCCTAATAAGGGTGGTGCAATGAAATGTACACGAAGCGGTCAAAAATGGGCTCACGTTTCGTGTGCACTCTGGATTCCCGAAGTTAGCATTGGTTGTGTAGAGAGAATGGAACCAATTACAAAAATATCCAGTATTCCGGTAAATAATAGTTTTATAATTATTTTCTTATAAATTTTCTTTTGTATTATTGTCAACATAATAATTTACATCCAAATTTAAATCAGTATCTCCATTATGAAAAATTATCTTAATTGTATTCATTAGTATTATATATATTTTTAATAATTTAGTTTGTGATTATCTTGTTCTGAATATAAATTGATTCAGAGTATAATAATTAATTACAGCAAAGTCGGTGGGCTCTAATTTGCGTTTTATGCCGCGAACGTGTGGGTGCTTGCATCCAATGCAGTATAAAAACATGTAAGACAGCGTATCATGTTACCTGTGCTTTTAAATATGGGCTTGAAATGAAAGCGATTATCGAGGATGAAATGGCAGACGATGGTGTGAAATTAAGGGTAAATTATCTTATGTGTATCAAAATTAATAATTTTCCACGCTTTGACTAGAATTATGTAAGTTAATTTGATGACTTTGTACTTGTTTAGTCATATTGTCAAAAGCACAGTAGAACAAATACAAAAGATAAAGTCGGCGTTGGAGGTAGTGTAGGAAGTGGTGGTGGAAAGGGAGCATCAGATTCCGAGGATGGTGAATCCAGACGGCGCAAACGAAAAGACATGACTTCTGAAGAGAAAAATCAAGCACGCGCAGCCAAGTATGTGACACAGTTAATATGGCTTTACATTGAACTATTTAGAATTTATTTCGAAGGAATATATGTATTAAATATTTAAGTACTTTTTATATTTAAATTACATTAGAAAAATAATATTTTTTATTAAAAGTATTTATATTAATTTCTTATATAAATTATTACATTTATATAAATTATACATCTTATATAAATTATACATTTTATAATATAGATTTCTCATCGAGAATTAATATTTTTAAAACTATGTTATAAAAATAAATATAATACGTATATCTTTACACAGATTGCAAGAAATTGAGGCGGAATTCGATAAACATGTTAGTATAAAAGACATTACCTCTCAACAATTGGACATAGATCCTGACAGCATTGTGTATATTATAACTATTGGAAACTTAAAAGAAGAGTAAGTCTCTTTCTCCCTTTTGTTAATTATTTTTGTAAATCTGCAAATGTAGTACATCGCATTGAACGCGGTAATGTGTTATATTTTAGGCCGGTCATAATAAACCATTGTTGGCACCTCGTTGCGGCGAGTTATCGAGCGCGGGCGCACGCGCTCAGGGTCAGGCAGCGGACGTGGAGAAGATGCGTACTTTCGTTCAACTGCGCCAAGATCTTGAACGCGTACGTAATCTGTGCTACATGGTCGGTCGCCGCGAGAAACTTTGTCGCACTTTCCTGAGGTTGCGCGAACAGACCTTCCATAAGCAGACAGCGGTGATGGCTGGGCCACCACTGTCTCCGGCGGCAGCCGTCGCTGTCATCGAGGCTAATCATGGGCCTTCGATATACGATCGTCTCTACTCTCATCCCGATGCTGAGGATCACACGCACGATTTTGAAACGATACTTGCACGGATCGCGGGTGTCGAATCACCTACGCCGGCATTGAGCGACGAAAAGAAGGTCCAACCAGACTTTAATGGTGCATCTAACAAAAAGATTTACTTCAACGGTTCCGTCAGACGGAAGAGCCTATACGGCAGTGATCTTTCGTCGATGAGCAGCAGCGAGACAGACGTGAAACCAGAAAGAAAACCTGGAACTGGCAAATGTACGAACAAGTCCAAGAGTTTGAAAGTCGAGAGCGAATCGAGCACGGAAGATGAAGGAAATGCAACGTCAAAGAGCAAAACTCCCGTCACTAGGCGAAAATCGAAGAAGAACGCGTCGGACAGGGGACCGCGAGTCAAATTGCGCGACAGCAGCGAGAGTGACAAGCTGGATACGGTCAACAGATCGCGTACTCTGCAACACATGGAGCTCGGTAGTTCTGGTAGCGAGAGCGACGAATTGTTGCCGTTGAGCACCAACGCCAGCTCTCGTCTCGGACCATCCGTTGCTTCTGCTATATATTCGGATACCGATTCGGACTCGCAAGAACATCATTCCCATTCGGCTGTACTTATCACGAAAGCCGCGGTGAAGGAATTCTCAGCGGCAGATTTATCCAAGAATAATCAGAAGAACTTTGCGTCTAAGGATGCTCCAAAATCAGAATATCAGGATGAATGTACGAAGAACAAGGAGAACATGAAAAATCCTAAGAAAAAGGAATACATACCATCCGCTCTAATAGTTCCACAGCGCCAAGCGGCAAAGAAGGCATCGGAAATTATGCAGCGAACGCAGAATAAGAAGGAGAATACCACGAGCGAGCCTGTAGAGTTTGTGAAATCGCCTGGGGAACCTGTAAAACCAACCAAGGAGAAACCATCTGGTAAGAAACAGCGTGACAATAAGGCACCGAAGGACGCTAAAAACAACGATGTTTACGATTTTGACAAAGAATTTGGCGATGGCACGGAGATCCTCGCTTATGTTCCGCAACGGCAGGCCGCTAAGAAGGCTGCGGAACATATCAAGAGCGGCATGGGCACAAAAACTGCTCAACCGGATGCCGAGACTGCGGATATCAAACCAAAGAAGGAATTACCGGATGGCGGTAAGAAGAAGGAAGTCATCAAGAAAGAGGATTCGCCCAAGAAAGAGGAATTGCCAACGAGAAAGGAAGAGCCGTCGAAAGAGAGACGAGGGAAGAAACAGATGCCCGAGAGCAGCAATAGCGAGAGTAGTAGCAGCGAAAGCAGTAGTGGCAGCAGCTCCTCGGAAAGTAGTAGCGATTCCGATGTGGCCAAGAGTCCGTCACAGAAAATGTCGAGCATTGTTAAGGAGCCAGCTTCCTCTTCGACCACCACCAATACCACATCTTCAGAAAGCGATACCGGTAATCAAGTGAAGAACAAGACCGTGAATAAGCGACAAACGGTGAATAAAGTCGTAGACGAGGTGATCGAATCCGAGAAGAAGACTCTCGCGGGGCGGAAACTCAAGAGGCTGCCTGATAAGAAGCTTAAAACTTCCGACGGGCGGCATGGACCAGAGTTTCAGCCGCCGCTTATTGAGAGAGAAGAATCAAGTAGAGCCACAGTACCTAAAGAGCCACAGCAACAACAACAGCAACAGCAGCAGTCACCTGGTAAGAAAGTCGATCAAAGAGACTCCAAAAAGTCAACATCCCTGCAATCACAACAGTCACTTGAACAAAGTGTGCTCGGTGGCTGTCGAGATAATGATGGGCTACGAAGTGTTTCTGGGGCCAAGTCTACCAAGAAATCTGGTCAGTCAACTAAACAGATGCAACAACAACAGTTCACTCTCAGAAGCAAAGAGGACGGCAGCGGCGGCGGAACAACGCCCAGAACGAAGTCGGAAACTCGTAAACGAAAATCAAGTGAGGTTACTGCAAAAGACGACAAGGGTAACAAGGAAACGACACCGATCAAGAAAGTGGAAAAGAAACTAACGGAAAAAATAAACAAGGAAACTGAAAAGGACAACAAGCATGATGCTATTAGCAATAAGAATGTTTCCGCAGAATCTCCGAAGGCGATTGAGAATACTGCTAAGACGGACGACAAAAAGATTAAGAAAACTAGCAATAGAAATGCGATTAATACGTTGGAGGAGGAAATGAAACAGCGACGAGCGGAACGGGATAGTCCGAAGAAATCGTCGAGGGGATTGGATAAGCTCCTTGAAAAGCGCGAGCATCTAGATAAATTATCAAGGAATAAAATTGCTCAGAAGGAGAGATCTGCATGCAATGAGAACAAAGACAAGGTCACAGCATCGGAGAAATCGACGAAGGAGCCTGTTAAAAACGACAACGTTAAGAATCATATGAATGAAGAAATCGCGGTGCTGGATGTCATGAAATTGGAAAAGGAGGATGGAAAGAGGGACGCTGTCGAGATTACGTCGGAGAAGTCTGCGGACAAGAAAAAGAAGGCAGAGCAAAAGCTCGAGAGCGAGACGCAGGCTGCCGTTGAAATGATCACGACCGAAGAGAACAGCGCTAAAGAGTCCAACATTGATAACATCTGCTCGAGATCGATGCTCGATAAACCCGAAACCATGATGCCCGAGAAAGAGTGTCAGCAAAAGAGGAGAAAGTCCGTCAATCGTTCCATCTTTTCGCCGCAGCATGGCAGCAAGGATCCTAGCGTGTCGGAGCTGTTCGACTTCGATCAGGACATTCTGTCCGATGATATAGTGAATGACGACGGCTTCAGCATACCACGCGACGAGGAGCGAGGAACGGCGCCTCTCTCGTTCTCCTTCAACAATGAGCTTTGGTTCAAGGAAGACAAAGAGGATAGCGCACGCGAAACTCTGCATTTGGTGGAGAAACTGCGTTTAGAGCTATCGAAGAAATCGAATTCTAGTCAGTTCGAATTGGAATCCGTTCCGGCGGAAGAGGAGCTTCCGAAGAAGGAAGAGCCGCCTTTTCATTCGGTCGATAAACCAACGACAGAAGAGCAGCAGTTGCTGCTCCAAGGAAAGGTGGATGTATTGGAGCAACAATCGGTGGAACAGCAGCCACAACCGATTGTGCAGCGGTTGAGATGAAGAGTAATAGCGGGCCGGAATCCGTGCAAGTATCTGAGGATCTTACGTGCAAAAATCACACTATTGAAGACAAAAGAAAACCCTGCTATTCGAGCAATAGTAACAATGATCAACATTACATGTATGGAAACGAGGAGCGCGAGACGGCTAAAGTGACGTTGTGGAGCGCGTGCGAAGCTCGACAGGGCCGAGGCGGACGGGATGGGTGCCGCCGAGCATGGACAATTTTAATCCCGAATGATGTGGCAACATTTGAACACGCTAATCGACAACCAGAATCACCGTTACGCCGCCGCAGCCGCCGTCGCGCATCAATTCCCGAACGATATCAATGCCGTAATGCCGGATCCCATGGCAAATCCTGACGCTTTAGTCGCCCATCTGCAGCTCAATATACCTATATCGTCGGACCAGTATCTGCAGTTGCAGCAGACGCACCCGATGGAGCGGGTACAGCAGCATCTCGAGGCGCAGCATGTGGTACAGGAACAGTCGCGGATGCAGTCTCTCGCGCTGATCGATCAGCAACAAGTATCGGCGACTGGCGCGGGAATACCAGCGCAGATCGTTGACGAGATCACGCCCATGGAGATGAACCGTCATTTGATCAGTCTACCCAATTCGGAAGACTGCGATCAGAGCAGCGAAATGGATCGTGTGCTAGACAAGGAGGATGTCTCGTCGGACATTAGGCAGGATACCACGCAGAGCGGTTCGCCTTACAACGAGCTCAATGGTCGCCGCCCGGATACGCGATTGGGCCGAGAAACCAAGTGCTACCTTCGCGTAGATCTACCATCGTCATCCATCACCTCCGCATCCCCGCGGAAGAACACGCGGCTATACCGCCCTACAAAGGCGTACCTCCGATACCACCGTATCCACCGTGCACGATAGACGCGACGCCTTATCATTCGTATTCGGAGACCGGGTCTTACGGTGCCGGAGCGGGTCGCTGTTTCCACCACAGTCGTGCGCCGCACAGTTACAGTATCCGTCACCTTTCCCACCACCCTTCGCGCACCTTTCCCGACTCCACCTCTGCTGCCGCACGTGCCGAACCCCTCGAGGAGTCGCTGAACCTGCAGGCGTCGCGTTGACGGCCGCTTTCACCTCGTCGTCGCCACAAACATGGCGCTCACCGCGGCCATGGTATCGCCTACGAAGGTGACTACGCGCCCCGCCCGCGCCACCACCACCGCCACCACCACCACCGCCACCACCACCATCACCACCACACCATCACCACCCCCACCTCAACCACCAGACCTCCACCACCTCAAGCACCGTCAGCACCGCCATCAACAGCGGTGTCGCAGCAGCAGCAATCACCTTCAACGCAGCCGCCGTCCTCGGAAACACCGGGGCACACGCCGTCTTTGCAGCAGGTTAATTCGCCCACGTACGTACCACACGTCTTTCCTCAATATCCATCCGGAGACGCAGGTCAGTAGCGAGACCGTCGTGGAGAATATAACGGAGGAGGTGCTTGGCGTGGACAACAAAAGCGCGTCGTCCGGAAAGAAGTCGCCGTCGAAGCCAACGAGAACGTCCGCCAGGGTGACATCGTTGCAGGGCAAATCGCCCGGTAAATCGCCGCGTCAGGAGACCACCAGACCCGCGCCGACCGCTCGCGGTCGCGGTAGGGGTGCTAAGGGATCTCAGCACTCGAGTTATCGCGGCCGCGGTCGCGGCCGAGGACGAGGCCGCGGTAGAAACAATCAGAATGCGTCGATCGCGATGATGCCACCCATGAACGCGATGCACAACGACGACTCGATACAGAACAAGCTTGTAGGCACCGTGTACGACTTCGATTCCGACGAGGATTCCGCGAACGAGACCAATATCGCGGATCTGCGGACGATGCGCGAACGAAAGAGATCCACCGACGTGAACGAGAAGACGCGGATAAGCGAGCCGCTGGGCGGTATGACGAACGACGGCGGTATCCAGTCCCATCTGTCTAGTCCTACGTTGCACACCGCGAAGAAATACGCCGACGACAAGAAGCTCTCATCACCGGCGGCGCATCACGATCATCAGGCTGTTATGGCCAAGTCCGAGTCGAGCGTCAGTCATCAGGCTTTCGTTGATAATACGGTTATGCCGTTGCTTGCCGGGTCCGGTTGACATGCGTACGTATAACTCGACCGTGGATCAACCGAGCTCGTCAGTGCACGGACAATCCTACGGTAACCATTTGCTGGGCACTTTCGCCGCGAGCGTATCTGCAGAATCGAACTTGCCGGACATCGATGATCTGGAGAACGAGCTGTTACCCGATAACTCTTACGTATTGAAGAAGCTCGCCGGCAAACAGCAGCAATTCGCGAGCGGCGGCTTCGAGGACACGTGCTCCAAACCGGTGTTTGCTGATCCGTCAACGATGGATCCGTCATCCGCGGCCAGCTTCGACACCAATAAGGTTTCTTTGACCGACTCTAGGAATCAATTGAAGGTGAAGATCAAAGGTCCATTCCTTGATGCGAATTACGCGCCGGCGCCATCGGTACCACCCTTGGCTCAACAAGCTCCGGTGATAATCGCACCGACGTCCACCAACGCGTCGGTCGCTTCGGGCACGTCGAATCTACGTCGTATGCGTAAGAAGGAACTGCTGCGCCAATACTGTTCGCAGGATATGAACATGGATGATCCAGCGGGCGGTAGCGTAACTTCTGCGCCCATCATCATTCCGCCTGTCAATCGTACGGTCATCACCATCCCCAAAGCCGTGGCGTCCATGACGAGTATACCAACCCGCGAGGACTACAAGGCGGTCGTCGACGCGAATATGGAGAAGAAACGACGGAAAGAACGCGGAGGCGGCAGCGGTTCCTTGATGTGGTAGCTGTCGAGGATGAAAGCAGTGGCGACAAGAGACGCGGTCTCGTCGTGGGCAATGTCAGCGATCGTCGAAGAGGAAGACAGACCAGACCCGCGGCGACCAGCGCCGGGCCGCCGAAGCTGAAGATCAAGATCGGTAATAGTATAATCGGCGGCCAGGAGGTAGGTAACATCCAGGACGATCGTAGCAGGATAAGACCACCGAAGAAACGACTGAGCAGCATCCCGAGCACGCCCAGCATGGAGGAACTCCGTCGCGAAAGCATGAAGTTCCGCAAGATGATCATGGCGGGCTTCGACAACGACGAGAAGACCAAGAGCAAGCGCGACAAGAACGGCAAGCGGAAGAAGCGGCAATCCAAGAATAAGGAGGCGCGAGTACAGTGCGTCCTGGAGGACGGTCCCGCGCCACCCAAGATCATTATTCGGTGGAGCAAGGTAGCGGGTGCAAACTCGTCGAACAATGACCCACCGAACGACGCGCCGGCCACCGGCGACGAGGACGAGAATCACCAGCAGGCACCATCGGACAAGGACAGCCGAGTAGGTCCACCGCCGCCCGAGCCCACCCATAAGGACGAAGTGGGAATCTACCCGACTATCGGGGAGAGCAACGTCGACGACAAGCAGCCTACGGAGCCGAACGCCGGCGTGACTGCCCTCAGGAACGTCCGTTCGGCGAAGGTGACGCCGATCCGGTTAAAACTCACGCGCTGCCAGGAGGGCTACGAACTGAAGGATCCGATGCGAGTAGCGAGCAGCGCGAGTGCGGACGACGACGGTGGTGGTGGTGGTAGTAATAGCAGTAATAGTAGTACTAGCAGTAGTAGTAGTACTAGTAGTTGTAGTAGTGCGACGACAACGACGGTGACGTTGGTGAACTCGGTGGCGCCGTTGCCGATCGGCGGTGTCGAGCAGGAGGAGGACGAGGAGAGGGTGATGGTGACGGTGGGGCCGACGACGACGACGGAACGATTGATCCCCATCCCCGTTCCCACCGCCGCCGAAACGAGGTCGTCCGAGCAAGAGGAGCAGCAGACTCCGCCGGAGAAGCAATCTTCCAAAGAGGACGATATTCCATTGCTGCCCCAGTCCGCGAATCACAGCTCATCGCCGGGGCGTCCGCCCGCACCGCTCCCGCAAGGATGCCAAGTTAGGTGATAATTAATGATAATTGTATAATACAGTAATTTAGTGGTTCTTTCTTAGACGATTCTATACATATATCGCGTAAGCGGGTGTGTATTATGTATATGTGTGTATATATATATATGTACATGATATATCTCTCTTGGATTGGCGATCCTACGCTTTATATATATATATATATATACATAAGATACACTCGTCTACGCATATACGCAAACCATACGACAGATGTATATTGTTCAATGTTGAGACAGAGACTCACTAGAGAGAAAAACGTTGTAAGAGTGTAATATAAATTATTGATTATTGTAAATGATCTGAGGGTGAAGTGAAATTTCACAAAGTGCCCAAAATTTACGGTAAATACTACAAAAATGACAAAAAAAAGGAAACACATGCATTTCTTCGGATGTATCAGTGAACCGCATTAAGGTGTACGTATTCATTGCACAGTCGAATCCATAAAGCTCACAACTTATCTTTATGTTTAATTCTTAAAAAAAATTTTATAAAATTTTTTAATGCAATTATATATATAAATATTGTTGTACATTAAATAAACAGTTTTTAGATCGAGTCAATCTCATCTGGAGCAAAGAACACTAATAGCGATCCATAGAGCTTACAGCTTATTTTTGTGCTCAATTCTTTCTTCTTTAAAAATTAATTCTTAAAAAAATTAATTTTATAAAAAAATTTTGCGCAATCGTTTTTGGATCGAGCCAATCTCATCTGGAGCAAAAAAACAGTCTATCACAGATAGTATCTTTTCGTTCTTGGATATCAAAAGTTTTTTTCTAAAGAAATCCTGAAAAGAGAATTGTTGATCGATCAATATAACTTGTTATGTACTAATTTCTATATGTTATTTAATTAATTTATAACTATTTATGAATTTCCGGTCTCGTGTTATCATGGAGAACCTCGAGATAAAATTCCTTCCAAGCGTTGATTGATGTTGCAACGCTCAAAGATTTTTCTCACGCTCGTACGTTGATCACTTCACATCAGTATGATTATCATCAGACAAAGACTTACAAGTTCCAAAAATTGATAAAACGCATTTTGATTTTCCGATTTCCTGATAAGGAGAATGCTCGTGTTTGAATGCAACAATATTGACACCTTAATGAAGGTATCGCACCAGCGACATAAAATTATTCTGTACAAAAGGCATATTTCTTAAATCACCGCCTAGGTCGTGATTTTTCAATGCTAGTTATAATGAATTTTAATAAATCCACAACACACTATAGAGTATACAATATTTCGATCGATGATCTAAAATATCGATTAATGTGTGGCAAGAAAGAGCGTATATATATATATATGTATATATATATGTATATCAGCCAGACGTAAAACGTCAAAAAAGAGAAAAGGGAGAGATACGCATTTTTCTTTTTTTTTCTTTTTAATTTTCTGAATTTTTTTTTTTTTTTTTTTGACAAACACTCGTTCGCGTGATTCACTCGAAAAGAAAGAAAAAAAGATGCAGAGAGAAAGAAATAATATATGTCGCTCTCGAAGATCGCGTTCACATGTATTCTTTGTTTTCTTTCTTCCTGTTTCCTTTCTTAATGTTTTCGCCTGTGCAATTTGCGCATACGATTGCAAAGTTAGACGCGAAGAATATTTTTTTATTATATTTTTTACGCATTATATTATGTAAGCGCCTCCGGCGCGATTTGTTACATAGTTTTTTTTTTATAGGACACGATGCGTCATTATTAATCGTCAGCGATTACCTATTTTATCCCTATTCACATTGTAGCTCTTGTTGCATGTATATTTATTTATGACGATCAAATATTAAGACGCTATTTATTCACCATATGCATTCTTCTTCTCTGAAAGTTCCCTAAGGACGATTTTTAGACGATTTTTCAGTTCATCTTCTCTCTCTCTGTTTATTACTATTCTAATATTTATGTATATATACACCACACGCTATTGTATTGTATAACTATTATTAAATATTTCTTCTTTTTTTTATAGTAATAAGTTATTGTTTTAATCTCACACCACGTAGACAAAATGAGAGTTATGCGTATAAAATACTCATGGTTGATGAAGCGGCGTGCCATGTTTTGTATCGATATTTAAAAAAAGGAAAAAATGGAAAGAGAAATTTACGAATCGAATTTTGCGGACGTAAGAGGAGAAAAAGAGGAAGTTTCCTTTCTGATACGCGTCGCATGCACATTCGAATTACGAAATAAAGAAATATAATAGGATGAGGGTATTTCGTTCTTTTTGTTTTGTGCGAGGCCGAGGAACGACGCATCTCATTATCATTATTCTCACCCTTTTGAGAGAAAGAAGACTCCTGAGACAGAATTATTCGCACGCGCGTGTGTGTATGTGTGTGTGTGTGTGTGTGTGTGTGTGTTTTCCCTTCCTTTTGAGTACCAACAACTTTAAATAATGTATTAATTTTATGTTACGTTAATTGCAAATATTTAAGAGTAAAATATATTTAAAGATGAAGATTTTTCGAAGGATAAAAATCTTTGAAATACAATATATCATTCCTCTGTTGTACTGCAAGCATATTTTTTTCAATTAAATTATTGCTCAATTGTAAAATTAGTAGCACATGTCTAGTTGTATAAAGATACATCCTTGATACGCACATATACACATACACACACAAACACAACACATACGAATAAAAATAAATAAAATCTTTTATACTCTATGAAGTTTTTAGAGAGATGCTGGTGTCTCTTTGTTATCGTATTTATTTATTTTTCGTGTGTTTTTTTGTTATTGTATTTTAAGTTGGTGGTACGCAAAAGTGTCAAGGGAAAAGATATTGAAATTGGTAAATAATCAAGGATGTGTGTGACGATCGATCGAGAAGGATTTAGAGTGGCGGCTGAATTTTTAGATCGATTGTGTGCAATCGAGGTACATGTTTTGTGAGAATTGGAAAATTGAAATTGTTTGTGTTTATATCTATCCATTTGTGTCCGCGTCGATTGGAGATTTTATCGATTACTGATTAATGTGCGAAATGTGCAATTATTATGATGTCTGCAGGAGAGAAGATCCTTCGTCCCGGTCCTCGCACATTATCGATTGTGGAGTAAAAAAACTTTGGCAAATTGCATGTCGATGATGCAATTTTGAATGACGAGAGAAAAAATAATTAATAATATTTCGATCAAGATGTAAAATAAAATGAGAAAACGTCGATATTAAATGAAGAATTGAAAGTATACAGATATAGAAGTATATGGCTAACAAAATTCACAATCTCGAAATTTTCGAATATTTTTGTTGGGTGAGGAGGGAAGGTAATTGTTTGCTGATTTTTTTCACTCCACAATTGTAACGCGACGCGTAAGAAGCTGTATATACTCGTATATTAAATAAGGAATCTGTAATTGGTATGAAGCTTATATAACGGCTGTGTTACCGTACGGATTTTATCTTCCAAATGGTTTTAAGTTATTTTCTTTTTTTTTTTGGACGAACACTGCATTAAAAAATAATAATAAAAAAAGGAAAAAAATATAAATAGTACAAGATTGCGCCGAAAGACTTTCAATGCCTCTTCCAACGAAAATCATTGATTGTCCCCGGAAAAAGCGTCACAGCGCGATTTATTTACGATCGATGAACTTTTGGAGGTGTCCTGAAAAGAAAAGTAATATAGAAACATATACAATGGCAAAATGCATTTTTTACCAGAATAAAGAAATTCATTTCAATGTCTCGCGACGTTTGCTTGCCATTCTCTCGATTTTCTCACATTATCATACATTCATAAGCAAAAATCACGCAGATATATACCAAAGAAAGTTTGTCGATTTGAGAGATTAACGGGCTGGCGAATCTCCTTGTAATCAGACATAAATATCTTCCATGTATTTTGCACACATATACACATGCAAAACAACACATACATGTTTACATACAAATGCACACGTTGGAATAGAAAGGTAAAATAGTTTTTTGCCGCAATCTCTCTCTCTTGCGTCTCGTAAAATGAATAAAAGAGAGTGAGAAAACGAGAGAGTGCATGGTATATGTGTGAGAGCGAAAGAGAGGAAGAGATAGCTTGGCGGTACCGTTTCGTCCCAATTCTTTATTATCATAACTCGTTATTTTCTTGTTATTCTGCGCAAGAAAAATCAAATCAAATGAAGTATTGTTTAGCGCGTTGGCGATTTTGCGCGCTCGCCAGCGTTCTTAAAATTCTCATCGATCGCGCAAACGAAACGTTTTCCCTGCGGTTCCTCGGAACGTGTTGCAATTCGATCATTGATCAATCACGAATGAAAGATTGATTAACGAATCGATATCCGAGCCGAACCGATTAAACGTTTCGTGCGAGCGAAAGAATTTTATATACCTTCATACCTTGCATACATCGCATTGTATATTTTTCAGTGATAAGCAGAGTTTTAAGAGCCTATATTGTACAGAAATGAAGAATAAATATTTGGTTAATTTTTAATCGTTTCTTACATGCATGCTCATATATATATATAAATATATATATATGTACATATATATATGCATATATATATATATATATATATGTATACATATATATACATATGAAATATAATGATAACTCTAATAACAAATAACGATGAATTTAATATTATATATATATATATATAAAATATAAATATATATAAATAATATAAATATGAACATATATATATATAAATATAGATAGTTTTATTATAATGCAACAAATGAGTAATATGATATTTAGTTATTGTATATAGTGTAAGAAAGCTGATCTTGTAAGATACAGATAAGGTGTTTTAATGTGCACATAGTCGCGTCACTGTCAATAATCATATTATTACGATTAATAATAATTACAGTTTTTTACATTCTGCGTTTTTCTTCTTCAACCAATACCTGCATATCCGCATTCTTATTTACATTAGATATATAAGAATTTCCATATAAATATAGAACATTCTTTTGCTCGAAACTTGTAAATATTTGAAAATTGTTTTATTCCTAATTCTCATGTTTTCTAATGATATTTTTATATAAAATATATTCGACAGCGATAACTTTTTTGAGAAGAAATTTATAATTGATTATTGTTGAATAGAAATATATACGTATTTCAAATAAATTAATCTCTTGTCAGTCATGTAAATCCGTGAATATTTTTTTCAGATTTTACTATTTTAAACATGTGTTTGAATATCTAATAAACTTTTGAAGAATCTAAAAATTCTAATATCTTTTCAAAAATCTTTTAAATATATTATTCTGTTATGTTATCGGAAATAAATACATACAAATGTAACAAATCGATCATTTATATAAAAATTAGCATGAATAGAAAGAAGATAAATAAATAAATTTGTATCTATTCCTATATAGTCTGATAAAAATACAAAATTTAAGTACAAAAATCAACAAGTCTTATGAGAGTTACACGACAAAGAGACTTGAATCTAATTTAATCTCTATAGAGAGAATATGGAATAAAATTATACATTAAATATGCAGAACGAAATCTTTTATCTTACGCAAAAACATATGATTTGAATGGGATGAGATATCTTTTATACATAATTTTTTTCACATAATCATTTATTCTTGTACAATGAAGATTTCGATGGAACACTTTATAGAACTAATGAAGCTATTGTATTTTAAAGAAGTTGAATATTAATACAAAGGACCAAAGAATACATTGATGATGTGATAAAATATTACACGGATAGAATTCGGGGGACAAAATCAACCCCAATATCCTCCCCAACCGCCTCCCCAACCTCTTCCACCCCAGCCTCCGTAGCCTCGACCACCCCAGCCTCCATAGCCTCGGCCACCCCAGTATCCTCCCCAGCCGCCTCCTCCCCAGCCGCCATTCCAACCACCATATCCTCTGCCACCGTATCCTCCGCCATATCCTCCCCAACCACCGTATCTCGACGGTCGACCATACCTGAAATTGTTCATAGATCATTTCATTAAGATAAACGATTAGATCATGTGAAAATTCTTCATTATGCACGCTATACTATATATGATTTTTAAGGCACGAAAAATATTTGTAAAGTTACATTTAAGTAATTTTTTATTTGCCTTATTATAAATAAGGGGAACTTTACTTTTTTGCTACGTATCATATTAAAAACATATTATTTATTGACGAACGATTAAATGATTATGAAAGATATATCACTTGTACTACGCACATGTTGTAAGATTAATATTAAAATTAGAATTATACATGCAATCTTTGCAAAAAAACAGCAAACATTACGTTTTATTTCTTTTGATTCTACAGTTAGTGTAGTAAGAAGTAAATTTAAAAGTCATTTTTAAGCATATGTAACATGCAAAGTCGTTTTAAAAATATATCGATCGTATGATTTTTTCAATAAGCCAAATGCAAACATTTACTTGAAATATTGCCTTTTGTTAGTTTAAAAATTTGTAAGCTTTTATTTGAATAATAACAGTATTTCTTTTTCAGATAGAGTTATATAACTGCGTATATACGAATGCTTCTCTTTTCGGCGAGTTTTGACAGTTTATTTCGAAATGTCACTTGCAAAAATGAATGGAATGCGTTATGGACCGCTAAATGGTTGCAAATTGATCGTTGCAACGCTTTTAACGCTATACTTGCGCATCAGAGTGCGTCATTTATGCACGCGGCTAGTTAGAGTATGCATGTTGACGAAATTACGATGGATGAGGAGCTGTGCAGAGACAGGGTCATGAATGCGAATGAAGATAGCACAAAAGTATAATATTTTTTTTAGACGTCTTGTCTTTTTACGCGATACACGATACAGTCGTCTTTATACAAACGAGTCGTGCTGCGTAAACAAACTTCGCATACAAAGTACACTTAAAAAAAGGTAACTTCGCAAAAAAAAAAAGAAAAAAAAATAGTCGCAGTTGAGTAAGATTGATTGCGATGGAATACGTGATTATTATTTCATATGTATGATATTGCAATTAGAATCTCTTGTATACTGTTAATGCACATATTATCCGTGCGTGATTCTATATGAAGAATATCAAGCAATGATGCAAAATTCTTACTCTGTTTAGAATTGTCATGTAAGATTCAACTCACATTCACGGTAGTTTGCAGAATACTTCTGTGTTTACATCGTATAATACTTTTTACTTGATGATATTATTAATCACGTGAATCTAATCTGAAAATAGTCCGCGAACACTATTGTGCATTTTTTATAGCGATTGATTGAGTCACAGAATATATCAAGAGTAAAGGAGAAAAATGAATATTAATTTTCTTGTTTTTTTTTAAATAGTGCAACAAGTTTGGCATTTTAAAAGCAGCCTAAAAATATATGAAATTAATTAAGAGAAAGATGTATGATTGTGTTTGTCTTCCCATAGATCAATCTCTTAATTTTATATACTTCCACAGATTGTTATTAAATTCACCAATTTCTCGCGCAAAGATAAATCAAAATGAATGAGATAGAACTTAATGATTTATAATCGAACTCACCCCCAGTACGTGGCATCTGCTTCCAAATCATTATTACCAGTATTCGCATCCGGTTGTGGTTCGATCTCGCTCTGAACGTTGGGCGAAGCTCCCTGCTCGTTTTCCGCAGCAGCGGCAAACGCAAAAGCGAATGCCGCAAAAAGGAATGCCTAGAGTCAAATGTGATTTTTTATTGATATTATTCCTTATTTCATTTTTCACGATAAACTTATTTAGATTTATTCGAAAAATCTTTTTAATGCGACTTTAAAAGCTTCGCGGAGTTGCAATATTTTATGTAACATTGTGCAATAAAATTTTACGAGTCCCATCTCTTATTGAGAATATCTTTGAAAATAACATATTTTGAAAAAAAGAAAAAATGCTGCGATTGCTATCAAAATACTATGATGAGGAAAACATTCTTAGTACACATTCAAAGAAGTTAGATTTTATATCTAAAAATAAAGTTTATTCAAATAAAATATAAAAGCTATAAAGCTTATCCAAATTTTACGTTATAATAGGTCAATTATTGTTAAGACTTACGTTTTCAAAGCAAATGATCGATAAAATCTTTAATTGATTGACATTTAACGTATATCTCAAAGGATTGCATTTTTAAAACAAATAATCGATGTGATCTTCAATTGATTGACATGTGATTGAACGTGTTATTGAAGATCTGATAAATCATTTGTTCTAGAAATACAAATCTTTAGCAATAAAATGAACAAGTAATGTGTTCGAATAAATTTTGCAGAAATACAAAATTTAAACTTCTTTGAATTATAATAACATAATATAATGTAATTTATAATATATGTATTAAGAATTTTCATCATTGATGCATTTTTTACAAAGAGTATATATCATTTAATTTATGATCTCACTTTAATTTAAATTTAATATCATTTAAATTATCGACATAGTCTCCATTATCACGATATTTATGATCTTGACTGTTTAGTTATATCAGAGATCATTTATTCCGATCGATAATTGAAATCTCGCGCAAATTACGCTAATTAGATAAGTTGATGGACTCTTCACGTCGCGAAACTGACTGAAAATACGCATTTGGTACACACGTGGACATCGTATAAGAAAGCTTTTACGAAGGGGATAAATGTTGCGTTATCAAGGATACGAGAGAATAGATCACTTACGAAATGCATAAGTCGCCACATATCGAGGACTGATTCCATTTCGAGTGGAGCAGGCCTTATATACTCGATCCTCGTAGACGCATACGCATCCACACACGTGCGTTTTTGCACGTGTGTCATCGGCTGTTTGCGGTTTCACAGGTCGAGCGCCCGCGCGCCGAAGCGGGAAAAAAAGGCGAAGCCAACGAAGAGGTGCCTATAGGTATGGGGTATAAGTTGCGGCAAAAGAAGAACCGCAAATGGGAATGCCGGTGTGATTTCGGATCCTGGGATTTCACAGCACCGTGAGATGTCGAGGACGTAATTTTCATAAAATTCGATGTACATACATAATTAGCTTCTCGCGTCTATTAAAGCGAATCCATACATTCTCATTAACAAGAGAAGCTGTCATTACTTATTTTAACTCGTACCATTATAAAGAAATTATTTGTAATTCAGGCAGATTCAGGGGAGAAACAAGAGCTCTATTTTTATAACTTGATGAATGAATATATAAATCATGTAAGATAATTTTAAGCATGGGTTTCTTAGATTGACTCACAGTATGGACGAATTAATAATTATTTATATCGCGTACTTGATTTACACAAGGAAAAATAGCAATTTACATAGATTACATACATTTAGCATCTATCTAATCGTGTCTAACAATACTTCTCGGTATTGTCTCATTGATAAAAGATGTTCTGAGAAGGCACGCTTTTGTATTCATGCGAGACTGATATTGTATTTTACCAGATTGCGTTTTTGGACGGTCATTTAAGTTAGGGGGATGATATATAATGACCAATGGGACGAAGATCATTCTTGGAATTTTATGCACCGTTCTTATGAGCAAAAAATATACTCGAGGACTTCAAAAAATGACTCATCTCTTTTCCGATTAATTAGAAACGCTGAGTTGTTGATGCACGATTAATCAACGTCATTTATCATTTAATGGAGTCACACATTATATTTAATCATACTTTGCGTCTCCTTTATTGTCCTTATAAAATTAACCAATTAGAGATATCTAATGCTCAATTAGTTAAAGATTAAAGCAACTATATACTTAATAGTATATAAATAAATTATAACATGATTTTAAATATATAAATTATTTTTGTTACAATAGAGCAGTAATCTCTGATAATGTGTCCCTGGTCTCGAATTTGCGATACTTTATATTCTATTTAAGTGAAAGTTGATTTTTATCTTCATCGGAGTACATTTTATACCTTTTTTAGGAACAATTCATATAAGTATCGGTTGTTAAATTAAGAACTGCATTGGCTGCAAAATTAATATTATGCAATTTTTATAAAGCTAAAGACATTTTTATGAAGCTATAAACATATTGTTTTATTATAGGCGATGATGTATGTGATATGTTTGCGTTTAAATTGAAAATTCAATTAGCACAAATAAATCACACACACACACACACACACACACACACACGATAATATTTTAAAATCAGTATGTAGAATGTGTCAAAATGCACAGAATTATATAAGAAAACTTTCTTCGATACATGTCGCATAGAAACACAAGAATTGGTACACAATATGCATAGTAAACATTTCGGAAATACCTTGACTAGGCACTGTATCGCATTAATTGTTTCAATGTACATTTTGCACTTGAAAACAATTAAAGATTCATGTTACGAAGGATTAAAATAAATTATTCGCATATTAAGTATTTCAAATATTTTCTTATCTACGCGACTAATTGAATAATAATGATATAATAGCGATTTATCGTCAATGCTAAATAGTTTTCATAGTGCAGCAGAAGAAAAAAATCGCTATAATAGATAATTTTTATTTAAAAAACACAAATGTTCATATTTTTAATTATTTAATAACAAAACTGTAATAAATTTCTCCTTGTAACAAAAATATATAGAATGCTAAATTTCATCTTCTATTCTGCTCTCCTGATTTTTTGAAAAGTTCAGAGATTATATATCTCATAAAAATTCTGATCGATATTTTATATTTTGTTTTTTCATAAATAAAAGGAGAGATAGAGAATAAAGAGCTCTTGAGAATTTTTCAATTAAATTCTTGATCAACCGGTCTTGATACCCATAAGGAAAATAAGACGTGCACCTTATAGCTTCAAGATATTATTGGTTTCTGTTGAAAGTTGCACCATTAAAAAAATGTTGCTATCGTTTCCGCTCATCACTTTAATTAATGAATACCTGTTGTACCTTTCCATCACTGAGGGAATGTAAATTAGATGTTTTGAGACTGGAGTATACTTCTAACATGTATCCATTAAGTCGTATTAACAACTATTAGCCAAGGTGATTCCCCGGACTAATTTTGTAATTAACATCTGATTCAAAATCATATTTTTTCTACCTAACAAAAATCTCAATTTACCAAAATAAAATTATAGATTGATACAAGCTTGTGCGTACTAAAATCAGAAAGTATAAATAAATTATAACGTTCTGGAGGTTTTTCGTTCTTTTCTCTTCTTTTAATTAAATAACAGAAAAATAAAAAATCGATAAAATTTTATTTTTCACGACTGATCTTTTTCTCTGATTCATTCTTTTGCGAAGTCATCCTTACGGTTGTCAATTAGATCCGGATTCTTATGTTCTACATTCTACATACCTGCGTAATTACGCGAGGGGTTCCCCGAGAGGGCATCAAACGAGCGTTCGTTCGTCGATCGTAAAGCTGTAATTTTTAAGGACGGACCGGCCCACCTTGAGCAGGTCGTCGTCGATGTCGTGCGTGCTCCTCCGTCTCGGCTGATTTGCGAAAAGGCAGAGGAATGGCGCGCTGGTGATGTAGTGCAAAAAGACATAAGTCTTTCTTCGCGCGGGGAAGAATCATTGACCGCGGCTTCTCCACTCAAGGTCAAGCATTATTTTTTCCCCCTCACTTCAAGCGGATCTACAATAATCTTTGCAAGAAAGGCACATCATTATGTCTTTGTTATCATATACGTTTCTTAGATGTGTGTACAGAAACAAATAAGATTGGATTTTATAAGTAAATATACTTGTATGCTTATATATGTATAGACTTGTAAAAAATACAGTATATATTTGAGTCTATATGTTCCCATCATTAATTATGTTTGACATATTTTAAGCATAAAATTACGTGACATAAATAGATTTATTTTACATATACATATTTATTCACTTGTAAGAATGGTTTGTTTCTATTGGGCAACTCTTGTTTCTTCCCAAACTATATATATTTTTTAGTATTACATGAGGTAATGAGCGGTTGTGTACGATACTGTGACGTACAATTATCGTTAATATGATGTAGGATTCACACATACACACGATTATATAAATATATTTTAAGTAATGAAATATATTCTATATGTTTTTCATATAAAATTTAATTTTTTTTCAATGTAATAACTTTCTTTATAAAAAAAAACTTGAAAATCTGATTTCAATACAAATTCTTCAAATATTGCATTATATCAACACATAATGCAACCATTAAAACAAATTAAAATGATTAATATAAAAATGAATGTAAATAAAAAGAAAAAAATAGAAATCATTGAAAAGTATAGTAATATTTACTTCATTTTCAAATATTATACTTGCTTCAAAATACAAATCAATACATATTTTAAAATATGTTAAATACATAAATATATTTTTTAAGTAATCTATTCTACTTTGTTATATGCTACATAACCATCTTTAAAAACGCATAATTTAAAAAAATATACATTTACGTGTTAACACTGCTCTAATATCAAACTTATTAAATAATAGATTGCACGTCGCATCTGCAATGTTATATTAATTAAAATTAAAAGTCTTTTGAGTATATATAAAAGTAATATTACATAAGCATATATTCAGATAAATAACTATAAAAAGAAATTCCTTCGTGAAGTTTTCCTAATAATAAGCTGTATGACAAGATATCCTTGTATAATGCTGACGCTGTCTACCTAATTTTTATCATTAATGAACTAATTTCATCATTAATCGATGCATTTTTCAATATGTTCCATCAAAGCTGGTAAGCCATGATATGGTTTCGCACATTTTGGACAGTTTGTCACAATACCATCCTGTACAACGTTAGTAGAGGGCTTGTCCGTAGATTGTAATTGTTGGTTGAATCTTATTTGTTTTTGTAATTCTACATCTAATTTATTTTTCTCGTCTAACAAAGATTCCTTAAGTCTTTTCTCAACTGTAAAGTCTTCCTCGTACATTGTTAATTGTGATCTTAATAGACCAATCTCTTCTACCTAAAAAATAAATAATATTAGATAAATTATATTAAGATAATATAAGAATAATAAAATTATATATTTTTTTCCAATTGTAGTTAGATTTTACATTTTAAGTTGCAATATTTTTTACAAAATTATTTAAAAATAAAATTTACTCACGCTTTGTGCATATTGTTGCATTATTTCTTTAAATTCTGTATCCTTTTTCTGGATGTCCTGTCGCAAGAGTTCATTCTCATCTTTCAGAGCTTTCTCGCAATTTTCATATAACTGACTCTGATGATCAAGTGACATTTTCTCTTCGTTCAGACTGATCTTCTCTTGCATCACATATTTCTTATCTTCGTGCAACGTTATGCGTTCCATATCCAAACTCTTTTTTTGACTTTCAAGTATATCTTTTTCTTTTTCAAGATTAAGCTTCTCTTGATTCAAAGATTGTTTTTCCTCTTCCAATAATTGCTTATTAAGCTTAATTTGTTCTACTTCTTCCAATTTTTCGCGATCCTTTTTATCTTTTAGAACATTCAATTTTGTATTTTCATCGATCGTTATTTCTAGTTCGTATAAAATAGAATTGTAATCTGAGAATATTTTCTGAAATTGATTTTGCGATTTAATCAAAGTCTGTCTGTCTGAGATAATTTTCACTTGCTCATCGGCTAATTGCTTACAGCAATGACACAATTTTTCTTTATATTGATAAAACTGCATTTTCGAGTTGTTATCATCATCAAGTATTATAAGTATATCTGTAATCTCTTTTAAACTTTTTTCTATCGTAGCAAAGCGTTCTATTTGTTTTACATAACATTCAGTTAACTCTTGTAATATATTGTTATATTGCTTTATATTTTCTACAAATTTTTGACGATTTAGATTGGACGACGATTGTAATAGATCGTGTAATTGAATAGGAGTAAGAACCTACAAAATGTAAAAACAAAATTATTTACAATTTTGTTTTGCGAATTTACTTAAAATATTTTTAGTAAACATAACTCTTAATAGATACATACACATTGCAGTTTCTCTTCAAGCAAAGCAATGACTTCTTTCAAATAATTGATTTCTTTATCTTTTGCATCTAAACAATTCTGATTTTCTACAATTTTTGCAGAGGCTTCCTTGTCAATACAATTTAAAGATTTCATTGCTGATTCTAATTCTTTCTCCAATTTTATTTCTTCTAGTTTATTTTGTAATGCTTTCTCAGCAAATTTTTCAGATATTATACATGTTACATATTTTTTGCATTCTTCAAGATTCATTTTTGACATTGCAATTTTAAGTTTTGGTGTAATTTGTTGAAGTTCTGTGTGAGCAGCATCATTAATAATGACATTAGACTCAGAAGTTGTGCCAATTGTCTGAGAAAAATTCATAAAGTTAAAATATATAGAGATACACAAAATGTGACACACACACACACACACACATATATATATATATATATATATATATATATACATATTTCTATTTATACCTCAAATCCTGTATTTTCATTGTCAGTATGTTGCAAATGCATCAGCTTAGTTTTTAGCTCATTGTTTTCCTTTTTAAGATGATTGACTAGTTCTCTAGTTTCCGCAAACTTCTTTTTATGGACCTCATGAACATTCATTACCTCCTTTTGCCACATTACTAATTTATTAAATTGTTCTTCCATAGATGAAGTGTTTAGCCTCAAAGTTTCTTTTAACATCACATTTTCTTGCAAAATGTCACTCAATTTCTCTTGCATCTCTTCTGGATTCAGTGTCAAAACCATCGATTTATAGTCCTATAAGAACACATTCTTGCTTTCTATAAAATAAACTTAAACCAAATAAAATTAAATAAAGAAGGATTGTAATGTACATACAACTGCCATGCTTTTCTGCTGAATATCAACATACGATGCTAAGACAGAGGCCTGAGTTTCTACTGAATCTTTACCTAGCACCACAAAAGATAAACTATTTTCGTCATTGACACTGAAATTATTCGTTGTCATTGAATTTATATTTAGTGCTGTAGTAACAGGCTCATCTAATTTAAATGAAGGTTTATTGCTTTCCATAGAAGTTTGACATTCTTCTTTAGATGTTGAACACGCTTCGTTGAATTCATGCTCCATAGAACTCATATTTTGATTATATTTAATCAAGATTTCTAATTAATCTGAATAGAAATTAATAAGAATATATAAATTACAAAATTGATTCAGTATTATCATTTTTCTACATTTCTACATCATTGTGTTATTGAAAACAAATTAGCAGAGCAAATAATAAATAGTAACAAATTTATATATATATTAGTCACATAAATTTATAAAAGCAATAGATAGAATTTACGCTAATTTAACAATTGTCCAAAATGATTAAAATATTTTAATTTTGCAACAGTATTATATTAAAACATATATATCACCAATCAAATTATCCGATTTATATAAAATATAGAAATCAGGCAATAAATTGAAATATCGGATTTTGCCAAAATTTACATTTAAAAATACGATAATTATATTCAATGTCTACATCTAGATTTATTTTAAATAAATAGCAACTGCAATGCACATTTGCAATTATATGAAAGGTACAATCCTTATATCAGAGCATTTTGCTTATTGACTCACCCGAGTAATTATAATCTTCAGAAATATTTACTTGCTTTCTAACTAATATATCAAGTGATCAGAATTAAAAAAAGAAGACAATGTTTCGTGTTTCACCGTAATAAACATATAAACATCGTGACTAGCCAAGACATGATTAAGGTCAAAAGATTTAATAATATATGATGTAAATTATAAAGTTTAGCTTACTGTGCGACAAAAATGTTTCCACTTGTGCGATTCGGAGAAAAAGAAAAATGCGTCTTGCGTATTTTGTTCGTTCTAACCAATGTTACGTATTTTTACATATTTGTTCAGATGAGATTTTTCGTGTATCTTGTCTCTTGCTTTCACGTTAGATTTAAGATATACATCTATTTCATTTATGATGCCATAAAGTGCAAAAAGTGCAGGTAGACCAGACACAATTTTCACAGAAATCATATAATCGTATCAATTGATATTTTCCTTCTCATTATTATGAAATTGCATACTCATAACGCAATAATATGTAACTTTATTCTTTCTTCATATAAAGATTTCTTCATTATCGACAAATGATAATTGTCTATTGTCAAGTAGCTTTCGGCTCCATCCGTAGAGGCGAAAGATGGATTTTTTAATGTATATAAATTCGTGTTTCACGCACAAAATAATACACAAATATTGTGAAGCTTCGGCAAAATCGCAGAGGATTTTTACAAAATTATTACCCAAAATTTAATTAAAAATTGACTCACCGCAATACGATGTGCAGTACCAGAGTTGCAAAAATTGTAAAAAAATAAATACATGGAAATTATACACAGTAAAATTTAAAAGAAAATAAAATAATTTTATTTATGGTATAACAAAATAAATTACATCAACCATAACAGTTGTTTCGTCGTTGTCAGCCCGGACCTCCTCCTCGTAGAAGATGAAGCTTCATTCAAAATACTTTGCACTCGCGTTATTTTTTCACGTCGACTTCTCTCATGACGCACTCAAAGAGTCATCGGTATTCCCGAATTGTGACTACACACTTCACTATATATTTTATATATATATATATTTCACCGAATATTTGACGACGAAGAAATCGCGTCGAAAGCGCTCGGAAATTGTTGCAATATCCGCCTTCGGAGACTCACGCGCGCAAACTTCAGGCGACTCGATGTTCGGTGTTGTGTCATACGTCACGTGACAATGCGCTTTCGGAAGAACGAATGTTTCGCGAGATTCACGGCCACGAGGACGTACGCGATTGCGACTACGACGTTGGTACACGATCGAATATTTATCGTATAATTAACAACGTAAAGTTACTAATTAATTAACTTTACACTCTCGTTTCGCGAACCGGCGCGCGAATATGGGTTGAGAACAGTGTAATAGAAGGCAGAATTCTAGATTGTGTTCGGAAATATATTTCTAGGGTGAAGCGCTCGATCGACCAATCAGAACGCAGACATCCTCTCTCTCTGATTGGTCGGCGCGGAATTTGTCCAACCAATCGGAGACCGAGGTGAACGCAATCTTGAGTGCTGCTTGCTGCTGCTCTCTGGTGCACTTTCTCATCGTTCACGATCGACGTTCGCGCGTTCATCGTCGTCCGCGAAAGAATACGTGAGTGTGGATATTTAATTGCTGCACGTCGTTAATTATCGTACAAATCCGATTGCGTCGCGTGTCCTGATATCGTAATGGTGATCGCGCGCGCGAGATCGATCTCGTCGGCCGCGAAATCTCGCTCGACGTTCGTCCGGTTCGTCCTTCCGAAAGAGGCGCGTGACGTCACAGCACCGAGAGTCGAAAATGCCGCCAAAAGTTTGCGCGCGCGAATGTACGAGGACGGATCGCGAGAATTGCCGGGCGCTTTTCGGCGCAATTTCCGCGATTTCTTTGTCGTCAAATATTCAGTGATGTATAAAATATAATATATATAGTGGTTAATTCGGGAATATCGGCGATTCCTGAGTGCGTTGCGAAGGAAGTATATCGCCATCGGTCCTCCGGTAAGTTAACCTTGATCTTGAAGAAAGCGACGACGCGAAATAAACGGAGCATCAGTTTTATTCGCGCGTGAATAAATTCGAGATTTTTGCATTTTATCGAAACGCGTCGAAAATGTGATAGTTAAAACCCGGGCATCGCGAACGAGAAAACGTAACGCGAGTGTTTCGAAGCTTCTTCAACGAAAAATCCGAGTTGGTATCGGGCAACGAAGGAGCAACTATAGATGTATATGGTAAATTAATTAATTTATTATTTATTTTATTATTACTATTATTTGTTTATTATTCTTCATTCAAGTTTAATTAAATATTCTCATATTTACAAGATATATTTTTGTAATTGTTTGTAAGATATTATTTTGTAATATATAAAAGTATTATATAACATATACATAATATAATATAAAAAACTCAATATAAATAATAATTTTATTTTTCAAAATGCCAATTATTTGTAAATTTTACTTTATAATTTCCATGTATTTATATTTTACAGTTTTTGCAACTCCACTGCTGGACATCGTATCGGTGAGTCTCATAAATTTTAATTAAATTTTGGGTAATAATTTTGTGAAAATATTCTCTCAAGATTTTATCAAAATTTTACAATATCGTGTATTTTTGTGCGTGAAACATGAATTTGTAAATTAAAATCCACTTCTCCTATAAGAGGGAGGAGAGCAAAACCCACTGAATTTTTTTTCCTATTTAAGAACGACAAGTTTAATTTACAAATTTGCGTTTGACGTACAAAAATACTTAAAATACACAATAGTGTAAAGTTTTGGCAAAATTGGAATAGACGGAGCTCCCCTTTAGCTCTCGACTTAATTACTATTATTTCTTTATTGTGAGAAAAATTATAATCCATTTTTAAGAAAGGTAAGGCTATACTCGAATGTACCAAAGTATATTTCTTGAAAGTCTCGAAATTTATTTACATGTCTCACTGTTTTACACGTGATTTTATTTGCATGTTATTTAGCGCAAGACACTTCGTGTCTCTTGATTATTTTATTGATGGTTGCTTTTCTAATTATTGATGCTTGGCTAACATAATAAGCCTAATGAGCATTGACTCTTTTGCTGTGAGTAATTATTATTACATAAATTTATTCTTTTTGAGAAATAAAAATTTACTTTGATGTAAAAATAGTTTGTTACTTTGATATACGCTTATAGATCGTTAATAGTGATAATTTATTTGAACTTATTAATTTTTTTAAAAACAAATTTAAATGTTTAAGTTGTTTTTTAAATAATTTTAATTTTATTATTATTTATTCTAAATTTTTATATTATGAGAAAATATTTCTTTTTTAAATTAGAGGTTTTTTTTATTGCAAGTTATTATATATAATATATATAGCAAAAGGAAATAAATATAGCTCATGTAGCGCGCGCTTCGTAAAATTTCAGTATAGAAAAAAGAATTTAAATTAATTATTATCATAATTTAGTATCAGTCTTTATAAAACACTATACAATTTACAAGCGCAAATAAAATAATAAAAATTAATGAGAGACACATTCGGAATAATATAAAATATTTTATATTTTGTACATTTACAGAACTATATAAATATTTTAAAAAGCGAACACATTAGATACATTAGCATGTATCACATTCTATACTCGATTAAACTCTAGCAATTTTTTCACATTATTGAAAACAATCTGTTACAAGATTATTACATTTATTTACAACAATTTAAGATATATTTTGTCTCACAACGTTTGTAACATGGGAGAATAACAAAAATAACTTCTGCGCTATATATTTATTATAACAATATATGTGTTTTATACAAGATGGTTGTTATGTCTATTTATTATATATTTTAAAACAATTTCCTTATTAGCGAAGAATCAAGCTAAATTATAATGTAACTTAAACATTGACATTATGTGTACTCAACTGAATGTCGCTGTCTTTTACATTATTATTAAAAAAATATAATAATTTTATTTTAAAAATCAAGATAATCTTACTTTTTATCAATTGAAAAATGTTTGGCTAATTTTTATTATTTCAATTTGTTGCCAGGGTTAGAAATTAATAAATTTCTATTTATCATTTTTGTTAAATTATCGTAACTGATTTAAATATCGAGGACCACCCTGTATATATATATATATATATACATAAATATTTATGAATGTATATAAATAAAGAAAGAGAGTTTTCTCTTTCTTTTTCTACTGTTATTGAAGAGTTATCACACCGACGAGGTGATGGTTATCATAATTAATTAGAAATATTTTATAATATACTATACAAAAGTTTTTATAATAAATACTTATCAACTGTATGAAATTGTACTGTATTTATAAACTGCATATACTTCAGTATAAATTTAATTTCTCCTGATAAATTTTTTATTGGAGATCTGTCAAATTTCTATATTACTGAATTTGTTGGTAATTAAATTTTATATAAATTAACTCAACATAAATGAAATTTAAAAAAAATACTAAGAATACAATTTTTTCTCACACTAATTATTAATGCTCATTATTTGTTAACGCGCACTCGTCGCACCATAGGAACGTCATATACCAAATTGAAAAAAGCATTTGCTATATGATCGAACGTTCTTGTCCATGCAGTGATCTTATGATTAATTTCTTTTAACAACGGCAGCGTGTTTTCTACTGGAGGAAGTTTTTTGCTGAAATATAATTATGTGTTGAGAACAAAAGTGCGATTTTAATTATCAAATTAATTTGATTTCTTAAATTTATATAACTTGATAGTTAGAACAGAATTATAATCTATTTTAATTGTTTTAATATAATAAAAATTGTTTTTGCATCAATATAAATAATCGCACTATATTAGAAAAGTGTGTATCCTTTTTATATAAATAATAATATACATTTATTATAAATAGATTTATGTAATACAGGTAATTACCTATCGCTATCCAATTGCTCCTTCGTTTGATTGGTGTAAGTATACATGTAGCACGCCGGATAGGAACTCGTAGTCTTTATTCGATGAAATATTCCTGTTTTTACGGGAATTGATTTTTCCTTTGATACGGTAATCGTACTTGCTGATTCTTCCTCGTTATACGTTACTTCACCTTCTAACACAGTCAGAGAGACATTCGCAAAATCAGTGGATATATAATTTTCCAAATACATGCCTGGAAAATCTGCTACGAATAACACATCCGTATAATTCGACCAGGTGTATACGTGCTGTTGAATTTCGTCCAATTTATATCTGACAAAAGAAAGTTATAATTTTTATCGACTTTTCTAGTTAAACAATTGTTTTATTAATCTTATAATTATAATTAATTTGTTGTTAATAATCTTTATTATTATTATTATTCTTTATAATTAATTATCTTTCGCAATATGTTTGTGATTACGCGAAAATGCATTATGATTATTAAAGTTTTAATGACTATAGGACTAGATATGTACCGATATGAATTATATCGCGTGAGTAATGGCATCAGAAATGAAATAGGTTTAAGAGGATGCCAATCGACCGTCAACATATCGACGTTTGGGTCAAATATTCTCTGTTGAAATCTGCTGTTTAGCGAGCACCACACATCCAAGTAAATGCTTAAATTTGTGGACAGTCTCATCCATTTTTCTTTATCCTCAATTCGATAATGGCTATTTAATGTTTCCTCTTTTCGACGCATTAGATTATTCTGAAGTTATATATGAAACAAAATGTACAGTATTTTAAGATAAGCAGCGTTCTATATAAAAAACGAGACTCGAGAAATTAGTTGAAAATATTAGGCAACGTTATATTTTTTTTTATTGCGACGCATCGATACCTTTAAGCATTGCGAATATTGAATTGCCATGTCCCCATGTCTCACCCATCGATTTCCTTGAACCCATGCTTCAGGATCTAGATATCGAACTTCGTTATTCTCGTTATCATGCACTTTGATCACTACCAGTATAGTATCCCAGGCATGAATCATCATATCCCAAGAATAACCGTATAAACCAGGTACCCAATTGTTGTAACCCTAAAATATAATAAATATTTCACGTAGTCATTAAAAATAAATATTATGTAAAAATTTATTTAAATTTAAATTTTTTTATAAATTTGTGAAACTGATCAAAATGTATATATATAAACGTAATGTGATATAATCTTGAAATCATAAATTATTTTAAAATAATATATCAATGTAATAATTAATATTATTATTCTTGATACCTTTGATATAAAATGCGAATATGGTAAAAAAAATTGTAGCGCAACATGACACAACAACAGAGACACCACAAACTTTTGTTTTCTTGTAGCTTTTGGTGGTTGCTGACTTTTCTGAATTTTTTTATGAATATTTACTGCTTCCTTTTCATCGGACTTAATTGAATTTTTCGATGATTGCATATCATTATCTTTTTGGTCGTTATTTTTTTGGACTTTAATATTAGATTCTGATTTGACAGAATAATTTTTATCTTCTTTCTCCCTTGTTCTTTTCTCTGAAAGTGTAAACATCTTAGAACTTATATTAATATAGACTTATATAAATATATTATGATTGTAAAAGAGATTGATTATCTACCTTTATGTAGTGTTTCATTATATGAAATTTTATTCGAAGGCAACGTGGAACAATCGGAAGATGGAGATTCTTTTATTTGACTTTTAGTTTCTTTCATGCTATTTGCAATTAAATTTACATCAGTCAGCAAAATCTCTCGCTTCCAGCTAAAGTAAAGTCTTAATCTACGTGGCCAGTTTGCGCTGCAAAATAATGACATTGTCGCTAGGCACACATACGGGAACATCCCTAAAAAGATTTTTTTTCTGTATTCCATACAAATAGATGCATAGGTATAAAGAGAAAATACTTCGATCGTTACGTTTCATTAATATTTTATGAAATATAAGAGTGGTGATAATTACCTATACTAAATAATCTCGAGTTCATTATGTGAAAAGCAGCGCAGAATATCATGGCCGGTATTCGTGTTCTTTCAAACAGCATCCAGAATCCGACAGATAGATCGAAAATAAAAGCGAACCAGTGGACGATTAGAAAGTCAATCTGTTCAGCTGTTAAAACTATTCTGAAAGAAGTTGTTCCTTCTTATCTAGATTATGTCTGTTAGCAAGAAAATAATTTTTATTTCTTATACACCGCGCTTTACGTTTGTTACAATATTTAATATACTTTTGGATCTCGTTTCGAATAATATCACTCACTTGAATGGATCAAATACCCAGTGTCTGGATAGATTTATCATAGCGTAGCCTTCGAGCCATTCCCTGCCGGATTTCTTCAAACCGGCCAAAAAGTAAAGAGCGAAAAATTGAAATTTCAGAATGAAATAATTCCAGTACGGCACGGAATTGCCGTTTCGTTTCGCGTTATTTGCATCTAATGCGCTACGAGAAAATTGATACATTAATTTTCGATTAGCTTGTGATTAATTCGAGAGTTATTCGAGAGAAATAAACTAGGTTTGGAATAGAAATATTAGGGTCGACTTACAAATATTTGTTCGCTTCCGTTCCCCAAAATAAAGTGGCCACGATGCCGTAGAGATAAGTATGATTGTTCCAATAGCTCTTGTCGAGAAGAAAAATGTACCAGTAGGGCAACACGAAGCAGGCGCATGCGATCTTGAAGTGCAGACCAAGAGCGATTCCGAAGGCACCTGTCCACATTATCGTGTATATTACTATCATCCACGGAAGTGACGGTGTCTTCATCCCGTGGATCAATGGGAAATGACAGTCCCACGGATCGCCCCATTTTATGTCGATGTTTGCAAATCCTCTCTCCTCGACGATGTCTATTATCATGCACAATCCTGGCAAAAGACGTGACTTGTCATTGAATTTTTAGAATATGAAATTTCCCGGATAAAAAAAATGAAATCTTTTAATAAAATAATTTAATAAATTACTGTTCTTGTTACATAATTATAGATAATCTTATTTTTAACGTTTAACATCTTGATTGCAAATTATTAAAATAAAAATTATAATATAAGATGTGTATTTTTTACAGACAGTATACAATCATGGTCATGTTTCTATTGACTCGAACCATTAATCCTCATGTACTAACTGCTTTAATAGGTCTTAAATTGTATACATTAATTTCTATGATTCAAATTCTTTGCTTTATTTATAAAGTGCTACAGTGTGACATGCATAATATATCATTAATGTAATAACATACAAATTATAATTATAATTATAATTAAAATCGATTAATTCATTAATGATTCGTTGTCAATCTTCTAATTATCGTAATTGTAGAATATATTTGGATAAAAATATGAAAATGTTTTACAATTGCACACACATTAAATTAAATTTTACAATAAACATATTAAAAAAATAAAATGTAGCAAAATTTGTAATAATTTATGTAGTAAATATTATATTCTAAAATGTACATATATATAAAATGTACCTATATATAAAATTGTTTACATATATGTAAATACAAATATATTTAGATGTAAATAAAATGTGAGTAAAATAATTTAGAGTTGTTGTGTGTCAATTTATGATTATTTGTTTAATATATAAAATTAGGGAGAACTTAATATATAATTTTATAATTTTTGATATGTCAACTTACCAAATAAGGCTCTTGCCACTCCCAGACTGGCTGGATCAGTCGGACGATAGAGGAATTGAGTAAATTTTTCAAAACTTGACACATTGCTTGCTTTAAAATTGAATAGTCTTTCAAAGTTATTATTAAACGATCGTTTCAATGATGACCAACATCCTGACAAGTTTTTCATAGATGTTTCTATGCGTAATTCATCGTTTAACGTAGATATATTTTCCCTCGACTCGTCCTTCTTCTTCAACATATCACTTCCAGTTCTGCAAACAAATAATATATATCCAATTAATTTTATTTTTAAGTAATGCCATTTTTTCTAATCTTATCTAAAGATGCTCAGACTAAGAGAGTATACTTAAAAATAAAAAATAAATTAGATAATAAATACAATAAAAATTTAAACATTTTCTCCTAGTTTTCGTAAGATACAATTTTTTTATAAAATAGGAAACACTATTTAAGAGTGTTTAGGTGTTTATATAAGAGGTAAGGTGTTTATATTATCGGCAAAAGTAGTGTGTTATTTTCGTAGTTTATAATATATACTTTATAGCTTTATTTATATTATAACAATACAGAATACTAGAATTAATTATTTTCAAAGTAGTGCAATGATAATTGACGTACAATTTGCCGATTCAAAAGCGAAAGCTTCGAGAGATCGAGATCGATAATTTGCAAGCAACTGCGCGATTATTGTTTCTCGCAGCGTGATTTTATTGTCTTTGGAAAGTTCCCTGGCGTAATCGTTGTTCTTTCTCTTCGCGGATGGGGAACCTTCTAAAAACTCGGAGTCAAATTCTGTGAATTAATAATCTCTAATTTTCAAATTAGCCGATGTAGATGATATTCATTAGGCGCTTTGATTTGGAGCGTCGAGACATTTTCGCGCGTTTGCGAGCGGGTCGCGACCTCGAGTTTTTGACACGCGTCAATTACAATTAATAATAAATCTCTTAATAGAGCGCAATTTTAAATATCCTCAGTCTCCATTTTATTTTTCTAGATTTTTGAGATATAAGTTTCTGTATATTTTTTCGGCATAGCTATTTTAGTAGAGATGCTTCTTTCTACGTTTTATATTTTATCATTTAAAATCAATTAAAATGTTTTATAGTGTATCGTACATCGACAAAAATTATTAAATTATTAAATATTTATTTCAATACTGCCTTATAAATTATTTATTTGAAACAAAATAATATTTATCTGTTTTGAAAAGAATTTTCTTATATCAAATAAATATTTTTTTCACATCAAATCAATATTATTACTTTCAAATAAATGATTTATAAGACAGTATTGAAATAAATATTTATTCAAATTTAATAAATTCTTTTTAGTGCGATAATTTATTTGTGTAAAATACTTATTTTTATTTTTTATTATTTGCATAATCGAACGTTCGGTTAAACGGCGTTAGCATATAATAGAGGTTCTTTCTTGTCCTTACTTCTGTTAATCTACAGCGGGAAATCAGCCGTAATGTATGGTAATTGAACGAGTTGTTAACGTTGCCAATGAGTAAATCGCACTTTTTAAAGTGAAAATTTTTACGGAATATTAAATTTAAATCATCATGTAAAACACAAAAAATGGATTTATCTTGTTACAGATAAAAATGGACACACGATTATATAATTTATAAATATTTTAACGCAAAGATTAACAAAAAATTTAAATGTAAATAAAATTCGTAAAATTATTGTATATATTAATTGAGAACTCAGAAATGCAACTGATAACGCAATTTACAATTACAATACATCTAAAAATATTATACTCCTGTTGCCATATTGTAATATATGTATATATATAATAAATTAATATCAGAAAATAATTTAAATTTATATAAAATTTAATTTACAAAAAATGTAATGCATATATACTTTTAGATAACTTTGCGAAGTACGGAGACGATTAAAATAAGTCTCGGTCTAACGATGTGTCACACGATAAAAGTATCTTTTACGCATGCAGAATATATATCCGAGATCTCGGTCACGTATTCCTCCCACGAGAAAATCACCGCAGTTTCAAATGCATAGAGATCTTTTAGCGGAGAAAAGACCAAATGCAAATGTTGCGTACCTGGCTAGTTCTCTTCGCGAACGGAGACAAGGCACTGCAGGAGGAGTCACAGCCAACGAAGTTGGAAGACAAGATCTTCGTTTTCGTCTCTGATAGCGTCGTGCAGAAGATCGGACGGCTTCTGTCTGGAGTCTGGAGCAGCTGAAGAAGGAAGAGGAGCACTTCGCGCCGGCTGTTCCAAAGGTTCAGAGTAGGAATACCGTCGCCAAGCAACGTGGCACGGATTATTGACCCGCGCCCGCGCAATAATTATACTTTACAGCACTTCTTCATCTTGCGTGCACTAGACTTTCGCCGATAAACAGCATCGATCTCTTGTATTAAAAATAAAATCTTTGATCGGAAAATAACGCGGACATGTCACATAATTAATATGTATAATAATAAAATTAAGCACGATACAGAACAAGGCATCTTATCCATATATCAAATTATCCATACATCAATCATACAACAGATTGTTTCCAATTATAATTTATATTTTTATCTTTAAGCTTATTACAATTATTATTGTATAATAATTAATTATTTAATTAATAGAATTAAATATAAAGATAAATAAAAGCTAGTATAAATAGAGAATGTGATATCGTTTTAAAAATACAAAATATTTGTGTCGCGTTTGAATAAAATGCGATTTTTCAAAAGTGTTTTTTAAACTATTGTGGAATTTAATTAAGATTCGTCTGAATTGCAGTATATATACGTTTAACATATTGTTTTCTATATATAGCGTATGTGATTCATGAGAACTCGCCACTTTGTGGCGTCTAGATTACGCTCACATGAGCTATATTTGCTTATATTACTTTACGTGTATGTTATCTATTCTCAGCTTTTAAACGACTTAATTATCGTTTCGCTAAATGGTTACGTTTCTAAATAACTTTTTCTAATTAGAAAAAAAACAATTTTTATTAGAACAAAACAAATATTTTAGAAAAAATATTTTTAGGAAGCTCAAACTATTAAATTACTTTAAATAAATCCGAGATTTAAAAAATGAATGACATAAATTGAGAGATCAGTATTTTTCGCGATAAAAAAATATTTGAACCACGATTCAAGATAATTACCACCCTATAAGCGCATGATATTATTTAATATTTAAGTAATATTCTACGCGTATTTTTAGAATATTTAATATTCTAAGAATACGCCTAGAATATTAAATAATATCATGCGCTTATAGGGCAAGAGCCTTATCGTACAGATTTTCTCGCGAGATTTTTTCGTGAGAATAGTAATGCAAACATTGTCTACTATCATTATCATCGATCACTGTTAGACTGCCTTTCACGTTGTGCACAAACAGAATTGGTAACTCGGTAACTGAAACTTGAAATGTTCATGACAGTTACAAATTTGCGATAGTAAATTTGCAGCTGGAGAAAGGCAGCGAAAACAACCATCTCCTCTCGAAAATGTCATATCTACGAGATGCCGTGTCAGAGTGCACAGACTCTCCGTTAAGAAGACATCTCTTGCTCGTTTAGATATAACGAGTGTTATCTTTGCCCGTCAATTTACTTCATATATCAGAACCTGGATTTTTAATAAGGCGATAAATAGCGCATAAAACTCGGATTTAATATCTGGTTGCAGTATAAATTTTTAAAAATTTTATTTAAATATCGAATAGATTACATTAGATAAATATGGAAAATTTTCGAGATATTTGTTATAATTTTTTACACACACATCATTTTTTGTTTGAAAATATTTAACTGCACTGACATCTCCTCCTGTTTGCGAAAGTCTGAGCGCAGCATTAAGCGCGATGTGCTATAATAAAATTTGCATATTATGTGCGACAACAATAAATAGATGTACGTCATAAATAATGGCGCTGTCACACAATACCCGAGATTATTTAATCGCGCTTGGTCGTTGAATCGACACCAGGAGTCTTTTCGATCTCGCAGCTGGGGCGTTTTAATGAATGGACGTCATTTCGCGTGCTGCATATATGTGTATATATCCCCAACGGCCGTTTTAGGGCTGTAAAACAAAAGACTGATTTATTTCAGCACGCCCCTCAATCTGTCTCCGTGGACCACTTTTGATTAGTGCTGCCTCTTCAAGTTTCGACCTTTCGAAAACCGTCACACCGCCGTCTCGTGACGGATTTTGGTCTTCCTGAGTCATTTGAATGCACTTCAGGATCACATATTTTGTTCTATCCGTTTTATTAATATTAATACATATTTTTATTACTAAAATTTTTATTTAATATAACAATTTATATATATGGTGAACGGGTGTTTAGATATACTCTGTATATAATATGACAAACTTTTCTGCAAAAATTATTACAAAAAATAGAGTAAAAGAAAATAGGAGATTTTAAAGAATTTTGTTATAATTATATTATATATTACAATTATATTCTCTATTAAAATTATATTCTGCAATTAGATAAAACAATAAATTAGAGAATTATAATATGACAAAAGTGAACCACAGTCGGCTATTCAAAGCCAATATGTATCTCAATGATGCCTATCAAGTTTAATTAACTTTACGATGCTCTTAACTCCGGTAACTGTGAACTGCTCAGGCAATATATTATCGCGAGTGTAAAAATGAAGACCAAGTTATATTTTTTTTCTTTTCAACACGTTCCAAAATAATTTTCATTTATCAAATAAATTTTAATCGACAATTTTTTATTTTATGAGGTACAATTTTTATTGATTTCCTTTATATGTATATATGTAAATTTCTGCTTGCTCACAAATTTTGATTTATACGCGAAAGAGAAAGTAAAAAATCTTCGCAAATACGATATATTTCGCCCTTGCTTTCACTTCAGACGACAAATCGAGTCTGGTGTTTCGGCGTAAGCGGAGAAATTAATAATACGGTATTTGTTTATTCCGGCACGGGCCACCCCGAATATTTACCGAGCGTATTTAGTTTGGAATTCGAGCGATTGCACCTGGAATTGAACGAGAGAGAGAGAGAGAAAGACCGAGAGAGCGTCGTGATCGAAGGCGCATATTTGCTCAGCTATTTATCACGGTTTATTATTTCCCATTGTCGGCTAGAGTCGGCGTATTGTTGACGCACGAGAGGAAGGGCCAAGGCGAATCTCTAAAACCGTGTCCGATCGAATTTGCATAGAAAATGCGGAGCGCACGCGCGCGGTGCATCCGATTACAGGCCCTATTAATTGCGGTCTCTCATTGTTCTCGCCAGACCCGATTTGCCTGTTTCTCGGATTACTGTATTTTTTTTTTTTTTAGGAGGGTTCGATCGAGCCCCAAGTAATGCGAGATATACTTGTCTTATGTAGTAATCAATTTAAAAATCTCTGATTGCATTTCATATACGTGAGAGTATTTTTATATTTTTAATTTTAATTTCTAAAATTTATGTAAATGCTTATTAAATTATTAGGTAAGAATGTTAGATCTAATATGCAAAAGAAATTTGATAACGTTCTATTTATCGTTCTATAGAAATTTTTATAATATGTACATGGTATTTTATTGAATTATTTTGCACATTTCCCAATTTTTATTTTCGAAAAAAATCATTTGACGATTATTTATTATTATCGCACTTTGAATCGCGACCTCGTCGTGTAACAATATCGAGGGATGGCTGCAAAGGATACGAGGTGAGGAAGGCAGGGAGTAGATGGAGTGGACAAAAAATCGGGCATAAAATTAACAGTATACAGCCTGCAGAATGCAGTTTGTTGCTTGGCAGTAATATTTCACGAAGGTCTCCCCTGCGGGACAGAGTGGGTTCGTTCTCCAGGGGAGGGCACAACAATGGAACCCTTTACCGAGCCCCCGGTGCCCAGAGCCAGCATCCATACATCATCATTCATACTGGAAAAAAGCTGGGGGGCACCTTTGCAAAGCGCAAAGATTGGGGGACCGCGAAACTTTCGGGGTACTGAAAATTTCGCATCAAGTATTTCTCGAAACGAATCGAGATTACGTTGCGTCTTGCTAGAAAGAGTAGTCTTAGTTTAGGAACAGCAGAGAATTAAGATCGTTCTCTGTCATGGAAATGTCTGTCAAAAATAATTGCAATACAAATTTTTTTACATATATTTAGCAAGAATAACATAAATTAGATATATTTTATTTTAATGTGTAATATATGATTTATATGTATTAGAATTTAAACCTTTTAATTATTATATGTATTTAGAGATAAATAATATTGAGATAAAATTTTTAAATTAATTATTTTTGTCTGAATTTTTTGCATCTATATTTCTGATTTCGTTATGTCACTTTTTGATATTAAATGATGTGACGAATACAAGCACTTCGACACGCAGAAGAGAAGCGTCGTTTCTTTCTAAACGTTTCGCGGTATATCACTTTTGTGGTCACTGCGTTTTCGGGAGCCAAACTTTACCCCTTTAAGAGACACGCCTTCTGGAAAAAAGGGTCCCTCTCGTAAACAATGACAGGCAAAAATCCACGGCTGTCTGAAAAATGTGCGAATCCGCGACCGAGGGAATTCTCGATCGTTGAAGGAATAAGATGCGCGATCTGTTTGATCCCATAGCTAATCGATCACATGAGAAATGGGCGAATCGTCGAGTTCATCGGCATCGAGGAAATCGCGCATTGGCGTGAAATGAAAACTAAAAGGAGGAACAAGATACGAACGTAATCCGCTTTTCGAAACGAGGCAACCCCTTCGTAGACGACGACCCATCGGTCGTGTCACAGCACGGGTGACTGATTGTAAAACCATAGAGTAACCCACAAAGGGTTGCAAGAGAGAGAGAGAAAGAGGGCAGACTATAGGAGGGAGAAAATTTTAAAATTGCGTCTCGTAATCGACGTGTAATCCTCTACAACCGTGACAGTCCGAACATAATGCGCACAACGAGATATGACCAGTTTGTTTTCTCTGGTAGATATAACGAGCTGAACGGTCGCATTCTATTCTGACAATTTTTCTATTATAAAAAAATATGATAAAAAAAATAAAAGAAAATTTTTAAATTTCTTTGAAAAGCTAATATAAATATACCAACTTTAAGCAATGACATTTCTTATTCTTTTCAATCGAACTAACTTTGACTAACTTTTATAATTCTTCGTGCTGCAAAAAAATTTTTTCCAAATAATTAATTAAATAATAACGTTTCATTTCACGTTGCATTATTTTTGCTTTAGGTTGTCCTAAAAGCGTTCTTTTTTTAAATATATTGCCTTGAATATATTATCTTGTTTATATCGAAAAGTGTCATTTTGCGCGTAGGCGAGTAAACACTTAATCAGTATTCCGTTCGATTAACATGACTTAGAGCAGTCTTCCAGAAATGTGATTTCGATCACGCTTTCTTCACGCTTCACTCGTTGCAGCTGCTGCGTATTCGCATCGAGTTTATTTTTTTTTTACTAAAAATCGTAACAGCGTATAGACGAGATCGGTGTTTTGTTGTCGAAGGGTGTTTTCGCACCCGAGTTATCGCTTTTTTTCAAAATACAGCATGTCTGTCGTGCTTTCGTAATCCATCAAGTGCGTCTGATCCTTATAAAAAAATGGATGTATATGATGTGCATAGATTGAATTCAAGATCAAAAAAATTCTATTGATAGTACATATAAAATTTTCTATTAGTTAAATATTTTTTAAATTAAATAAAACACGTTAATGTTGAAAAAAAATTGTATGAGAGAATAAACTTTATTTCGATTTGACACAGATCGGATGATTTATACGCGTTGTTTACTCGCGCTCATTAATTTGAGCTCGGACCACGTGTGCGACTGCGAACGAATTAGAATCTGATTAGCATTCGTCTTCGAACGGGCAGTTCATAATCGTCGGAACGGGAGGATTGACGTGCTCGCATTATCGCGTACGAGGGATTTCCATTCTAGGCGCGCGTTCGTCCGGAAGGACGTTTTTAGGGCGGCGAAACTGCGGGGGTTACAGGTACCCCAGTTAGGAGACACCGATTGTCACACAGGGGTTGACACGGAAAAAGAAGGGGGAGTAAAGGGAGTTGAGCAGGAGCCGAACCTTGTTTTCAGGAAAAATGTAGCGATTTTTATCGACACTCCGTTTCTCCGCGGGGATCGGATCCTTTGGGAATCTATGTTTTCCTTTGACCTCGACTTGTGACAAAGGGGATATTGAAGGGAAACAAAAAGAATGAGCTCATACGGCCTGTGTTAGCAGTAAATAGATTTTAATTTTTAATATAGTTTGTGCATATTGCAATATATATATATATATATATATATATATATTGATATAATATATATATATCTAATATATTTAATCTATATATCATTTGAAATATATATATATATATATATATATATATATATATATTGTATATATTTAGCTATATCTCATCGATTTTAAATAAAATTATAATATAATACTATATTATATCTTGTAGAATTATATTTAGTATATATATTTAATTTAATCTGTTCATATATCTGATATAATTTATAATTTATGATTAATAAATATATATATATATATATATATATTTATTAATCTTTAGAATGAAAAGAATAAATTATAAATTTATATGAATAATGTAACGTGGGAGGGAGGAAGAGAAAAAGAGTGAAATGGAAGATTATTTATTTGCAATAAAAGTTATCTCACATGATTCATTTGTCCGATCTGCTTTGATCTATATCGACATACTTAGGCCCCTATTTAGGCTGCCACAGTTTATCTTATATATAACATGGCATGACGATAGAGAAGCAATGGCGCGTGCGATCTTTTTTTCTTGACAATATTATTTCATGGTAACTGTTTTTACTTGTTCGCAGACCGGGCCACTTCGTTTTCAAGTGGTCGGCAGACATCTGCGCGATGTTCACTATGCAATACATGTACCGCTTTTTTATACAAGATACTACGTCAAAAGGTTTGAATATTACAATGTGAAATATCATATTTCATTGTTTTTTTTAAATCGATTTTTTTCTATAATAATCGGCACCTCAATTATAATATAATTTTGACTAATATTATATCTTGTAGAAATTATAACAAAATTTTAGTATAGAAAATATAAAGTTTTAATTTAAAAAAGAAGAAAATCTGTTCACAGAAAAATGAAAAAAAAATACAAAATCTGATAGAAGGGATAAATCTCTTACTTCTGAAATTTAATTAAGTTTGAAAAAGTCTTATTCTCTCGAAATATAATGTTATACAATTTTATAAATTACTCGGCGATACTTTATGCGGTAATATTGTAGCTATTATTAATAAAGCGAATAATTCCTACGTTATTTGGCCCATATTTCTGGCTTCGAGTTCCTAAAGAGATAATGATCGCTCCTAGGAGGGCGACCGGTAATATAATACACGAACAATCCCTCGGGACATAGAAGAGGAGATGGATTCTCGCGGAACTACGCGGACAAAGACTCTCCCTTCGTCGAGTATTCCCCAGGAACGAACTCCTGTCTCCCGAATCCGGCTCGACCATCTCGGATTTTGCGATGCGATGAGTCGGTAAATCCCATTTTTATTGTAATCAATGACTCACACGTCGAGAACTCAATGATAGTCTCCTCGTAACTCATTAAAGCAAAGAAAATGTTGAGCAAAAGGCGGAGAACTAATCGCTCTTTTTTATTTCTATCAAAATTTACCATATAATCTCAAATATATATTTTACAGATGTTGCGCACATATAAAATCACAAAATTTTTTGGGATATTTATCGTTCAATTATTGATGCAAAAAGGAGAAGTTCGACAATGCGAATCCTTTAATACGAGACAGGACCGTGTATCTTTTTTAACGATGCTCCGACAAATAAATGAAACAATAGGGTAAGAGTACACGAGTACAAACATGATGGTAATGGTCGCTGGTAAAACCGGGAACCAAGGCTGAGACCGGGAGATTACGATCTGCTGGCCATTGTGCGTTTTACGGTGCGTGGCACGCACGAGAGGTGGCTGGCGTTAACGTCAAAAGGCGTTACTCGCTTGAATTGGCTCACCTGGCGGTCGCGGAAGGTATCTGATCGAAGGTATATCTCGACCTCGACGAGATCCACAGTGGATTCTAATGTGATCACTTTGTTTCATCCCCCTGGACCACGCATCGCCTGGTGGGTGCCTTTCACATCCGCTAACGGAAATCGAATTTGCCGACCTCTAACTCTTAACCCGCATTTTTTTGGACGCAACCGGATCCTCCCGTACATTGTCTGCCTTCGCGAAAAATTTTGCTACAATAAATTGTAATTATTTTCTATGTTTATAGAATGCGCAGGATTTATTACAATTGTAGAAAGCCTTTTATAAGATATATATTGTAGTAAGAACAAAAATTACATCCTAAAATAAAAGGCTAAAATAATAGTCGATGCATATTCGATCGATTTTATCTTTGAAGAGTTCATCGGGCGTTTAATATGTTCCGTTATCGATTGAATACCATGAGTTCATTTGTACTCTTAAAAAGAAAGAAAAAAAGAGAGAGAGAGAGAGGAAAGCCGTTATCTGAATCAGATTTAAGTGCGGGTGCCTATGATCATCCGCATGGGGCCAAGGGAGCTTTTGTGAGGAGTCTAAGCACGAAACGATTGAAGCCCTGACATGAATAGTAACGACAATGATGCGTATCGGTTTTTTTGTATATTCTTAACGTTGTAATGCTTTTTGTTCCTGGTTTCACTTAGCTTTTGCTTCTGTGAAATCGTTGACATCTATGTAAGTTGATCTAAAAATTATAACAATTCTATATACTAAAAATGTGTTCCTCTTTTCAATTTGATAACGCTCGAATGGTCCACGCTTTTTAAAGAAAATACATTTATATAAATTTGAAATGGATATGCAGATAATTTTTTCATTGTATATTTATCTTTAATCACAAACATGCATTTAATTTAATTTTTATATTTTTATCGCAGTTTTTTTCAATTCTAAATTATATTTACCATAATTGTATCTAATTACTCTTGATTTTTTATTATTGAGATTTGCAGCAAAAATTTGTGTTTAAATTTCTTTTCGTACACATGTATATTTGTTGTTGTACTCGCCTAAATGATTGTGTAAACTTACTTCAATAGATCGTGCGCTTTAATTGAACTCTTCTGCAAACTGCTACGGGCGCATCACGTGCTGCAAACATTTACAACGTGACAGGCTGCCCCAATATCCTCCGGCGATTGCTGCGATACCGTTCCATACAATTCGTCTAATCCATTTCTATATTGTACCAACTTGTTTTTTCTGATCATAGTATTGATAAACTTGCTTGCATCAAGTAGGTTGTATCTGCATTTTGAGAATAAGAGAATAAGAGAGAATAAGATTATTATACAATAATTATAAAAAAAATCAATATTAATTTATGTTTTAGACAAGCATTCTTTTATTTAATCGTCACGATAATTTTACAACATTTTTTAGACAAAAAATCTGTTTTAATTAAAGACGTTTAATGACAAGATTATTTAAAAAATTCATATAATAAATTATGACAATATAACATAAGAAACTATATAATTAACGTTAATTTTGCGAATTCTAATTAATCCTCTCGCTCTTTTCCTTATTATTTGAAGTCTCTAAAAATCTTTTCTAGGAAGACATCTTTTTCAACAGATGCATTAAAATAGAATAATTAAATCTACAAGTGTAATTAGTTACCCATAATTGTAGAAGATCGGTTTAAATACGTGTTGCGTCTTATTGCGATCATTCTGATGCTAATTCCTCTAATCGACGCGCAAAGTGTCACAAATAACGAATTTGACAGACGAGCTGGCAAACACGTGGCGGCCGCACGTGCGCGCGACCGCGCCTGCGGTGCGAAACCGAGATTAGCCGGGAATCTCTCATTTGATTATGATATCTCAATTACGGTCACTTTTACACGCTGCTCGTTTGGCACGTGCCGCGCCCAATCGCTGTCGAATTCAGGATCGGTGATACGGACACGTGGCGAAGGCGTTCGTTTACTCCTCTCGTAGTTTTTATTCACGCGCAGAGTGAGTCGCACGTGTAATCGGCGGTCGTTCGTCGGGTTAAATTCGAGATATCCGTTTAAAGAGAGAAGATCGATGGCGGATGTGACAACCCGACACGCGGGGTTGATAACGCTGGGAAAAAACGAGGAAGGCGTGAAGAAGTGGCGATTAATTGTGCCCCATCGTCTATTCGAACTTTCTCATCGCCTCGTAGATTTGTATATCTAATAAAACGAATAATTTAAAATATGTTTGCTTCTTTAGCTTCATGGTGCATTTTTATAAATAATTAATATATTATTATCTACATATTTTTTTCATTTGAAAGTGTTTTTATTTTTATAATTATTTATTCTTATAAATTAATATACACACATATATGGGCATATCTTTTTTAAATAAAACACTCTTTCATTTTACTTTCATCGACATATGGATCATTGTTTGACAATCCAAGTGCCGAAATAACACTCTTGTTCTCTATATAATAATACCATATTTCATTTAAATACTATTGAGTTCGTTATTTCTCTCTTGATCGTTCTTTTTTTAAGCCACTCATGTCGCCACGCGACATTTTAGAGTAGATGAGCGGATTATTATTTTATCGCTGTCCGGTTTTTTTTTATCAAGACACCCGTTATCTGCGAACAATTCTTGGTGCGATTGACGCGCACTTTGTAGACAAATATACGCACAAGGAGATGTGCCACATAATGACTCCGATTCCGCGGCACGTGGCTGACACGTGTCGCGTGCGATAGTTCGCAGCGTGAAGGCGAAGTGTGGTGATGATTCCAGCCAATTGGCCGGAAAGGATTACCATACAACAGTGTGTGTGTGGTTTGTCAAATTATTGTGTCGCATTTTTGTCATAGAAGAACATTCTATCTAATGTAAAAATATGTATATACATCTATGGATAACTGATATAAATTTGGGCAAATTTTAATATTATATAACAATTATTTAAATATAATATAGCAGCTACAACGAGTATTTCTCTATCTTTTATATATTATAAATTTTATAAACACAAAAATATAAATAAAAAATATTGTGGGTATATACTCTTTTTTAAGATAACAGTAACTGCTAATTAGATTCAAAAAGAATAAATAATAATTAAAATATGTGTATGTTAAGAAATATAAATTAATTAAATATAATAAGTTAATACCGTATTTTTTTTATTCTTATTATCACTTTTCAAATTTATAAAGTAACTTTGAATCTTGACGTTCCTTTGAAATAACTATATGGACTTGTAAATAAGATGTCTAGTATAATAAAAATAATCTCGTTCTTCTAGAGCAGCTTAGGCAAGTGGGATGAAAATCTCGTTAAATGGTTTAACTACCTTGAAATTACACGTTCGGTGTTTCACAAAGGTGGCGAGCACCCCCGTACACCGCATTCTAATCGATTTGCTATGGTCGTCGCGACTTTGATTTTCCTGCTCTGCGTTTTCCCCTCGTTTCGAACCGCCATGGAAAATACATAACTTAATTCTTAGTGTGGCAAATTCACTGAGTGCGAGCACAGTTGTCCCACGCAAGTCTTTTTTTATCTTCCGGAAGCGACGAGCGATAAAAAATTGAAATATCGACCGTAATACCGATTTGTTTCTTGTCAATCGTTTCCGGAATAAATACATATGTCGGAAAACGATATACAGGATGATTCAAAACAACCGTTTGTTCTTAAAATGTATTCCTGACTCGATTCTAAGACGATTTTTCTCTTGCCAAAATTTTATCCGAAGCTTAGTTTAAAGATATTAAAAGAAATAGCGAATTACACGTACAAGCGGTAGACAGGAGCAGCGCAACCACCAAAATTATGTCAAGATATAATAAAAATTGGGAATTATTTTTATACACAGACATAATTTTAATTCATCGAATTTTTATTATGTGGCGACATAATAATTCGATGAATTAAAATTATTTTTTGCGACATAAAAATAATCGCAGTGGGCGACTCACGTAATCACCCGCGTCGGATAGTAGTTGAATTTTTTTACAATAGTAATTAATTTGAATACTACTATAATTTAGATTTTCAGATACTTGAACATTTACTTCGCTGTTGTGCATCGGTGTCAGTGAGTAAGATAAATTTTTATTTAATTTTGAGGTAACGGATTTATAGATCGTAGTTGTAGATGGTACATTGTAGATTGTAAATAGATTCGTTACCTCTTAAAATGGATGGACTAGATTAAACTTACATTTAAGATAATGTAAGTTTAATCTAGTTATATATAAAGTTTGATGATTTTAACTCAATAAAGTTACATTATTATAAATGTCTTTTTCCGCAATTTAAAATATTTTTATTTTATAATATTATATTTTATTATTTTATTTTCCTTGAAATACGTTGATTTCTTTTTCTGTGTTTAATAAATCCAATGAATTTAGTAATGAATTACGATATTTTATAATAAATGTCAAAACGCTTTTCAAGTCAACTTGGAAATCTTAAGTAAACAAATTCGCTAAGCAACGTGGTAAGTATTCTATTCAACTGTTCATCCTTTAATCCTTTTGCATCCTATAATGACATAATGGGAACTTGTATTTTTTTGTGATGATTTACGGTTATCCGGATGTTATCGATATGTAATAAATTCCCACGAGGGGCTCACGACCGGAAGGAAAAATTACGAGAAATCCACCCTCGAGGTCCTCCTCTTCTCATGCTCGATCTGGCAGATCGGCTACGTTCTAAGGATCAAAAGAACCCGGTAGAATTGATATTTCTGAAAGTTGGGTAAATCGAGAGAGGGTATCGCACCCATCCAAGGATCTCTCCTGTCGAAAAGGGGAGAAATTGAGGGCTTAAGAGCGCGAAAATCCTTTCTCGGCGGCTCGCCTCAGATCTTCGCCGCGAAGTGGTGCATTTCAAAGGACCGCGTCTCGGTCGGCTTCTTAGGAAATAACCGTGAAATGGAGCGCACGCTTCACCAGGGTTTTCGGGTGGCCCAGAAAGAGATGCTGGTCAGAAGCGCCCGTTTCGTAAGGACGCGTGAGAAAAGCCGGAGGTTCGCGTGAAAGAAGAGATATATTCATGAAATACGTAACTTTTTTATCCGAGAAGAGCTACGTTAAAGCACACGAGAACGAAGAACATAATCTCTTGAAATCTGTTCTTTCGGTAAAAAAAATTCTCATAGTCAATAAATGCATTTATTCTTACAAATAGTTTTTGCTGTCTATAAGCACACATTCACATAAATCTCATACACTTTTTTATATACAAATCTTTAAAAAGCGTACAGTTATTTAATTTTTTGATTATTTAG